GAGGTACCAATTTGTCATACCAATATATGAATAAGGGTCTAAAAGATAACTAATATTCTTTAACTAAACTAACTTAAACTACTTAAATAATTCTCATAATTTCTCAAAGATCACTAAGATCAACTCAATTCAATTATTTAATAACAAATTCGAAGGAATATTACAAGGTAAGTTCTTTATTGTGTAAAGTTTTAACACATCAAATTAGCTTATCCACTTAATAAGATGTATATACTAAAGAGTATTTATACAAGATTAACTTAGGTTTTATTAAGATTTACATGACAAATTAACAAATTAAAGATTTAATAGGAATATTTAATATGATATAACTTTATTAATAAATATAATAATAAATGTAAAAATAAAATATAATAAAAAAATAAAAATTATAAAATTAAAGATAAATATTAAAGGATTAAATAATGTATTAACTAGAAGAGACAATTCTGTTCTGGTCTCTTAAACTCTTTAAAACTATAGAACTTCTAAACTCACTCTTCCCAGGATAGGGAAGACTTATATTTATATTCCTTTAATTTGCTACACGCATGATCTATCAAATTAATAATTTATCAATTTTATTATTTTCTTGATTCCAAAAATTAAATAAATTATTAAAATTTAAAATATTATTATTGTTATTCTCAGGATTATTTTTGGCAAGTTGGATCTCTGGAAAAACTTCTTCTTGATAATAGATGGATTCGATTTCTTGGGTTCGCAAAAGATCAACAATTTTCTGGAAAAGGTTTTTAAGTAAGTCTTGATTTTCTGGTTGAATTGATCTGAAATTTTCAATAAAATTAGTTAAAGTAGCAAGTACACTTTCTGTTTCTTGCTCTAGATTCATTAGTTTGGAGGTAAGTTCGGGATTTATTACTTGGGTTTCTTTCAGAGTGGTATCTTTGTCATCGTCACTAAAAGGTATAATAAATTGCTAAGGTTTAGTAGGTTATGATGATGTTCTACTACTTTCAGCAAAGGTTTCTCTTTGGGGGTAGGTTACTTGTAGAAGGTTTTAGACAGTAGGTTGAATAGCAGAAAAATAAGTTAGGATTGAAGGTTCTTTGTACGGTTACTATGGTTGCTGCGGTCATTATAACTCACAACGATGTGATAATTGAGGTTGAGTTTCAGGCATTTGAAAAAATATGTGCAGGGTTATATTCTTCTTCCTCGTTATAATTAAAAGCCTAGGGGTTTTTTTGAGTAGATATAAATTTGAATAGGTTTGAAGTTTCTAATGGAGATAATTGTGATGATATAGCTAATCTCAATTGAACTTCTTGTAATCGACTCTGAACAAGTTCTTGGGTGACCTGAGCATGAATTTGGTTTAGTTCTTCCTCTAAAAATCAGGTTGTGTCAAGGAAATGGCAATAAGATTCAAAATCTTGAGAATTAGGATCTCCTTTAGATAAAGCTTCTTGTATGTAACGTTCGTACCGGTTTCTATATAGACATAATTTAGCTTCAACAAAAAGTTGATCAGACTCAAAGTTTTCAGAGGTTGTATCTTCGTCTAAGGTAAGTTAGTTGTCTTCTGGATTATTATTATTATCACCAAAGTTAAAGAATCTGAACATAAGCTACAATATATCATTTCACGAATTACTGTGCACAAAGAAAATATTATCATGTGACGGGATGGTGAAATTAATATATTATAGGTTGGATTTTATTCAGCTAGTTCTGAATAACAAAAGTTTACTTAGCTATAACTAAGCAAAGAAAAACAAAAGTTGGATTTGTTCAAGCAAAAGGTTAACAAAAGGATTGGATTGGATAAAGGTTTTAACATCCACTATTACCAAGTGTAACGAATCTACTAATTCGTTAATTTATAAATGAGAGAATAAATAGCAACAACTATTTATTACACGGAAATAATATCAACAAATATTATTCCAACAAAATTTAGGTTATAAAATAAATTAATTGACAAGAACTTGTTTGCCTCTTTATTTTCTTATGCCTTTATATAATGATAAAAATACATAATTATAAATATAGATAAATATTATTATATATCTTAGGTTCATAGAACCTTTCCAGAATAGGTAACATAATATATAATATAAATATAAAAAGAATAAAAAGATACATGTGAATTAATTAATAAGAATATAAATAGAAATAATAGATATAATTCACATGTACAAAAATAGATTAAAATGATTATCACATTTCTATAAATGCTTTCAGCCTGATTCTCCATGTGAAATCATTAATAATATAAATAAAAGAAAAATAGAGAAAGAAAGAAAAAGAAAAATAAAATTAGAAATAAGTCTATGTAAAACTACTGTGGTAAATTATGTCAACAGACGAGAACTGCTACAGGTTGAATTTCTCTTTACTCAGTTCTCAGTTAGTTTCCAGTTCAGTTTAGTTTCTGTTAATAAAATGCTTTGTAATTTATCTTATAAATAATAATTACTTGTATAGATTATTATTTATACTGTTGTAATTTTTTAGTGAAATTTTGTATTATTCCTTAGTGGAATATCAAAACCCTTGTTGAATTATACCTTGTTTTATGATCTTGATATACAGTTTTTGTATTATAATTCTCTACTTAGTGTTAAGAATTATTAGTTTAGTTTAGTTTATATCTTGTTTTTTGTAAATAATCTAATTAAACCCTTATAAAAATCTTATAGCCTTGCCTCTTTCAAACAAATTTGCAATATCTAAATCCTTCAAATATTATACTTTTGTAGTATAAATTAGTTAATATATTTTAGCTTAGCTACTGTATCTTTAGCTAATAGTTAATCATATCCCTTGAAGGTCAGATCACAGTCAACACCATTGTTTTTGTAAATTGTAAAAGGTTTATACAGATAACACTGTAGACTATAAAACAACTAAATATCATATGGATTGTGTAGACTATGATCTATGCAAAGTTCACATATTAATCTATGATTATTAGTATAGTAATCATATATTCTTACAATGGATCACATCATTATCACTAATGCAGTATATGATGGCCAATATGGTTAGTAGACTATAAATCTGTTGGTGTCATAAAAATCAATTCAGTAGTATGATGGTTCATAGTATATGAGTACTATTAATAGACTATGAATTTGTCAGTGTTGTAAAAATCAATTCAGTAGTATGATGATTCATAATCTAAGCTAGTTCATATCTTGTAACTTTTAGGTACAATGCATTATGACACAATTTTTGCATATTAGAATATGTATGCATTTGAAATAGAATTAATTTCAGATTCAGGTGGTAGGTTGTGGCATGTCTCACATGAGTTAGTCTGAGTCTCATCTTTTCAAAATAAACATTAGAATAAGTTGTGTATTTTGTATTATGTAATTTTATGTAATGTAAAAGACTTTCTCTTTTTTTAATTAATAAATTTGAGGCAAGGCCTCACTGGAACTTAAAAAAAAGAATTTAATTGCAGATTATTTCTCCGTCTAACAATTTTTAACCAAGTCTTTTTATTTGCATAATTCCAACATTTTATATAATAGAAATAAGCCATAACTATATATATGAAATCTGTGTTTTTCTAAAATAAAGTTTATCAATTTTTTTAAGAAATTTTTATCAAAGAACCTTAGATTTATAACTTTAAACCTATAAAATTCATCTAATTTTAAGAAATTTTCATTTTTTAAGCTAAATAACTCTTAGAATTTCAAATTTTATTTCCACCCCACCCTAAAACATGTTATTCTGAATATGTACAAAGTGTTTATTCTCAATTATTATGTAGAAAAGGATTTTCATTTAGTTTAAGTTTATCGTTCATGAACTAACAATAAATTTTTATGCTTATAATCCATCCTATCAATGCTTTTTTTTTAGAATCAATAAAGTTAATAAAGTTTCTTCCGTTATAGGAAATTCGCTGATAGATTCTTTCGGATATAACGTTTGTAAAATTAGTTACTTACTCTATACGAGCGAGAAACTCGGATATTAATGCTAACTCTTTTCTTTTATTATATAAGATGACTCAGTATTTTATTTATTAAATTGAGTATTAAATTAACTATCATGGTATCGATCCATACAGTATATGGAATTCCTAATCGATAATTTTTACCTAAAACTATTACTTAAATGTAGTTGTGCGTATTTGCTTTAAAATTCATTCTCGCCAAAACCTAGAAGTTTACCTGGATATATTTTATCCTTAGAGAATATATTTTTTTCTAGTGCCTGAATAAAATTTGAAATTCTTCGTAACTTATCACTGTTAATTTTATACTTTTTATACTGAGGTGACAACTAAAATTTTATGGTTTATATACTTATAGTACCCTTAATATTTTATTATATTTTAAATATGCATATATGTAACTTCAAAAAAAAATAATGTCGTGATAACTAAATTTATATCTGCATTGCATATTTGTTATCTGTCAAACATTAGAAGATTATTGCATTAATTTCTTGCCTTCAACGAAAATATTAGTAATATTTCTAAGAGAAGGCGTTATATAATAATAATATTAATTCCCCTGAAATTAAAAAATTTGTTAATCGAATTTTACTCCACTATAATAAACGTAACGCAAGTGGGAATTTTTTGAATGATATTCCTTTTTTATTATTTATTATTTTAATAATGAAGAATAACCTTCAAAAAAGAAAAATTACAAAAGAGAGAAATAGAAAATAATTTTTTTTTTTCAATAAATTTCTCAAGTAAAATAAAATTTCCAGAATTACATATTAAAAAAAAAAGGAAAGAAAAATTTGAGTTTTCTCTAAAGTAATAATTACAATTTTTAAATTCTATTATGATAAATTAACTCAAAATTAGTTTAGATAATGTACAATATAAATGTTAAATGCCAGGAACAAAAAATGCAATAAATGTTCTAAATACTAAATATATGGAATATAATATATATAATATATGGAATAAATAATAATGATACAAATGTATAAGAAAATTTTTCTTCCTTTCACCGTGAATGAATTTTAGAATTTATTTCGATTTGGATTGTGCTAATTTAATAAGCTTCTTGGCCTTTGCGATCATTTCATCGTCCAAAGAGTCATCCGATTCGTCAGAGGATTGGGAGGAGGAGGATGAAGAGGAACTTTGATTTTTGGTTCCGTTTTTTTCATTTTCATCTTGAATTTGGTGTAACATTTCCATAAGTTCCTCTTCAGAAAACTCACCTCCAAACAGATCAGAGAATGAACCGGGGGCAAAGAAATCTTCACCATAAGAATCATCGGAAAAGAAATCATTCTTTGACTCTTCGAATTGAATGTAGAGTGTTTTAAGAGTATTGAAGACGATTGTTTTGTTATCAGAAGACATTTTTGTTGTTATTATTAAAGATTTATGTATATTTATTTGTTGACAATTTTAGCGAATAAGTAAGGTAAAATTTTTTTGGTAAAAATTTTATTAGAAATGTATTATGATTTATTAATCTGTGAAGAATTTGATGAAGACAACAGAAAGGAAAACGCTGCCTATTTGTACTTGTGAGCAATCTATGATCAAGCTTGTGACATGTGGATTCATTCCTTGTTAATATTTCTGTGTATCGCTTAAGTTATAATGGTAAGTTGTTCGACCAATTTGGGATGTCTTTGTTAAGCCAATTATTTTTAAATTAATATTTGGTGATCATTTTACATTTTTGGGTAATAGTAAAGACAATACATATACTACTCGTCATCATCATTTATTGTGATAATCATTCTTCTGATCGAAAAAACGAAAAAAAGAATAAGAAATTTTTCAAAAAACAATGAAGAAAGAAAAAAAGAACGAATAAAAATCAGTGAAAATTTCATTATCTTAACTTTAAATATTATAAACAAACCACCAGATTTTCTACCACGCTAAACCTTATTTGAAACAGATAAAGAAATTATTTCTCATGAAAAATGAGCCAATTAAAATTTAATTGATATTTGATGATCTTTTTACATTTTTGGGTAAAGACAATACATATACTATCCTCGCCATTTATTCCCATCATCATTTATTGTGATAACCATTCTTTTGATCGCAGAAAAATTCTTTCAATCAATAATGAGTAAGAAATTTCAAAGAAAAAAAAAATGAAAAAAAGAACGAATAAAAATTAGTAAAAATTCCATTATCGCTAATGCAAAATTAAAACTTTAATTTACTCGAGGAAGTAATTTACGATACGTTAACTTTAAAATATTATAAACAAACCACCAGATTTTCTACCACGTTAAACTTAATTTGAACATACAGATAAAGAAATTACTTCTCGTATTCTTTTTCCATGAAAAATGATTTTTTTATTACAGTTACTATTTTTGGTATAAACAAAAAACATTTGATGATGCATAAGCAAAAATGTAATGTTTAAAAATTCTTAAACTTTTTCATAGAATTGAACACAAAATATTTGTCCTTCAGAAGTAATACGGTATTGTTTGTACCAGAATTTCACACTTACACCTATCATTTTTCTTCCCTTTGTTCTTTTTTTTCGTTGTCCTTTGTTTTATATGATCTTCGGTGATCATTTCTTTGTACTTAATTCACTGTGTTGCTAATATCCAAATGTTAATGATTTACCATTATTTAATTAATCCGTGATTCGCTAGAAACGGAAAGGATTTATATAATGGATTTCGGGTCAACTTTTCCCAATTATATGGGGCAAACAGCCGCATCAAAGGTGCTGAAAATTTTACAGGTCATTTGCTATAATATTGAACATGATTGATCAAATTTTATTATTTTTTTTTATAATTAACGTTAAAATTTTTATTTTTTTATATTAATGCCGAAATTTTTTAAAAATTTATAATTTAAATTGTATCTTCTCAATAAAAAAAAACTTTAAAATAAAATACGTTGTTTGGTAATACTTACTAAAAGCTATTAAATTATGTATTCCTTTTACATTTAAAGTCCATATAAGGAAGCTTTACATTTTAAAAATTAGTTAAAAAACTTGATGTCTTTAGACTGTTCGCACCATGTATAAAAATTAATTTTTAATCGTTAAAAAAAAGGCATATCTCTTTATTTCATAGATATTGTCATTTGAAACTAAAAATTTTTTTAAATCAGAACCATTGCTTTTATGATGTTAATGGAGAAATGACTTTTATAAGATATTTCTATTGATATTCTTATTTATCGTATCGTAGTATTTTATTGATGTTTTTTCCTAATTTCTGCGCATTGACAAACATCATTTGAAAATTCTCGTTTCTAGCTTCCGATATCCATAGAGCTATTGCGATCTAAAATGCACAACCTTTTTTTTTATTAGATTCCCCCTAAAATAGTGCTATCATATGATATATTTGCATTAAAATTCAATGTCTATATTACACTTCAACAAAAAATAATAAATTTAATTTTTGATCGCTACATACTTGGTATGGGTATCGATCAAAGATTAAAACTAGGAACTAAATCTTATTATTTATTAATATTATTGGATACATGTGATCACGTGGATGGACAGATGCTAAGAGCTGTCAAATCAATAAATAAATATCTTATATATTTATACACTCGCTTATAAAGTTTGAAAAATAAGATATAAGAACCTTACAATTCCGATTTTGAAAGATTCAAGCAGTGTACAAGCGGAATGTGCGCTATCACGAAATTTGAAAACTCCGCACATAAAAAAAAGGAATCCGCACAAATTTTTGCATATAGAATTCTATAACTATATACTTTATTATTTTAATAAATTAATTATAAATTATCACTCTTATTGGTAAAGTAATCACATGATATTCAGATCAATTTTATTGGCTAAAGTAAATCACAAGATAAATACGTGACCAAATCTCTAGTCACAAATAATTAGTTATTTAAAAAAAACGGCTCGACTAGATTTATATTTTAGCCGGCTTACGGCTAAAGCTAAATTTAAAATTTATGTGATTAATTAATACGAGTAATACAATAATTACTCATGTGCGGAATATGCAGATGCCTTTTTTTTATGTGCAGAGTTTTCAAATTTTGTGCTAGCGCACATTGAATTTCATTACACAAAAGTTTAATTTCCACGTGATTCACAGATCGGAATTATACATTAGAGAGAGAGGGACAAAAATTATTTTTTTAAAAATGTAAATGCACAAAATTTTACTTCAAAGTCTGCTTTGGTTATTAATTAAGTTGTTTGAATTGATTTTTACATATATCTTTAAAGTTTTAATATCATTTGTTGGTTAAGGATAATGACAGTGGGACATGGGACACAGGGACAGTCAAAAAAACTGGGACATGTAAATTTGACAACATTACATTGATATACAGTATAATAGATCTATGGTATTGACTTAGTCGGCCGATTTTTTTGAGAATCAGCTAACTGCTAAGTCGGCTAAGTCGACTAATGAACTTTCGGCTTAGAACACTACTTTTGATATCACACTGTACAAAAAAATATTATTAATTGGATATATCCTAAAAATATTTTCGGTCTTATTTGTAACATCCTGCATTTTTATTTTACTCGACTTTAGTAGCCGATTTTTTACATTTTCTATTCTCGAGCCGTATTTGATTATTGATTAATGATTTATTCTTCTCGGTCAATCAATAGCTTACACTCATAAGGTTTTATTTCTATATTATGGAGCCATGTCCCTGTTGACTATGGCCAATCAAAATCATGAATTTTTGTTTATACGACCAGCCCGAAGCAAAAAAAAAAGTGAAAAACACGAAAAATACAAGAAACATATGCATTAATAATAAGTGTTGGGGAGGCAATTTTACGTATAACGTGTACTTGAATACTAACATACTCTAACTCTAACCCGGCTCTCACTCTAACATTAATTAATTTCAGATAATTATATGATGGACATGGCTTTAGACATCCCCTATATTAGGAAATTTTGCTCTAGTCGACTAAAAGATTTTAAAATATCAACTTAAGTCGTTGATTTAGATATATATATAAAAAAGAGAATTTCGTATATCTCCCTTATTTACGACTACGGGATAGGTATAGAAATGAGGAAATACTAATTTTGAATGTGAAGCAAAAAAATGTTGTTTTCTCATTGAACATATTATGCGGAATTTATTTTTATTAAAAATGTTTTATCGCATTTATTCAGAAGGTTTAATCGCACAAGGAGTTATTTTTATATGGAAAATCTCTATAGCTTTCTTTTATTTGTATTTTGAAATAAAGTTATAAAAAAATTTATATTTCGCTAATTCAGTGTTAGAAATCTTTCATCTCCATTCGTCAAAATCATTTGATGCATTTATAAAAAAATATAATTATTCATCATTTGTTTGAAGTATTGCTTTCATGATTTGCATCCTTTATTTTCTTAACATCTAAGTTATCGAGAATTCATGATTCACGATCATTGAAAATTACTAAATTTGAATTAAATTAAATAATTAAATTCCTTTTATAACAACCATTCATTTCAAAACCTTTATCACATTCTAGAATAAAATAAAGAGATTTCATTAAAATTATCACCTCTCCGTTACTTCCGGAAGAATTATTTTCTCTTTTTTTGGAAATTATTAATCAAACCGATTATAATTACCTTATTAAAATCATTTACTCCTGCGCAAAAATTATAGATAATAAATTACTCGCCACCCTTTTTCTCATATTCGGATTAGTCTGAAATTTTTAAACAAACGAAACGGTTAAGTTAACAGAAACACAGCCCCGACTAGCCGCTACATTACATCCTAAAAAGTCTCCTCAAGTTGCCAAAACCTTGTAAAAATAAGTCCGTATAATGAGTGAACCAACCAAACTGAATTATCACTTGCCTTAAATTTTAATAATCCATTTTCATGCCTAAGTTAGAATTTATTTCATTTAATGGTGAAATTATAAAACATAAAAAATTGTTTCTCATTTTTTTTTTATTAAATTACGATAACTAAAATAATTATACAATAAATTACATTACAACGTTATATACATAAAATATATCAAAAATACAACGAATGGCTGTATATTTAATTTAAAAAGGAAAAAATATCAGAGTAAAGATAAAATCAATACAATAAACCAAATATAATTATAATACTTAATATAATGCCCGAGTTAAAAAATCGGGGCAAACAAATCTTAAAAACGAACGAAGAATTCTGTTGTTTGATGTTTCGGAGATCCCGACTATATATATATTTCCCATAATTCTAGAACTGGAAATATGAAGAAAATAAATTATATAATTATATTACGTAACAATTAATAACTTATTGGTTAAAATAATAAAATTACTGTGATTGGTTAAAATAATAAAATATACTGAAGAATATTATTTCTCTTTCTCTGTATATAATACACTCATCATTCTTACTTCATATAACTCTCCTTTTTTAATAAAAAGAACCTGCAATTTACGAAATAATTCTAATTCTCAAGTCAGGCATATTTTATTTTGTATATTCTATGAAAATTGGTCGATATTGCTTTTCTCTTTCTTTACACACTTCATATACCCTTTTAAATAGATTTCTTCTTTTTGATAAAAATAAATTGTTAATGAACTATTTAAAATCTATTTCGTTATCGCGCGTATTAATTACTTAATAGTTAAATATATACACTTCGTTTTCTTATCTAACAAAAAATAGCGATTCATAAATATTTTTTACCATTAATTGCTGCTGTAAAGGAATCACACAGTATCACTATCAGTAAAACAAACTATTACATTCGCATATAGTATATCATATAAAATCTCCAGAATTTTTATTCAACATGTCTCTTCCCACTAATTACCAGAATATTTCAATTCCATTTCCGCCAAACATTGATGTAGGTGTTATCGTAGAAGAGCATTTAAAAAAAGGCATTAGAAATGCTAATCAAACAGGGAATGCCTTTATGATTTATCTCAGGATTTTTCGAAAAGCATATAGTAATGTAATTGCGATGTTTAATCTCCCAAGTAGAGATGTATCTAGATTTGCTAGCTCTTCATGGATTCAAGAACCACCACTTGTTAAAAACTTTTACAGACAGAAAGCTAAAGAGGTTAAGAAATGTTTCAAAAAAAATATTCCTCTTTATTTTATCAACAAATTTGGAAAAAGTAATCAAGTTAGTACGAACGGTTCTTTTAAATCTTTAGAAAAGAAACTTTCTAATCATAAACTTGAGAATACAGATTCAAACTCTCCTAACGCTCTTTACACTAGTCCTCAACATTTGAATGTTGATCAAAATTCTCCCAATATTGCCTACTCCAATTATCAAGGTTCTGCTTATCCTAGTCCTCAACTTGACTCTCCTAACACTATTTACCCTAGTCCACTTTATCAAGTTTCTGTTGAGAATACAGATTCAAACCCTCCTAACACTATTTACCGTCCACTTTATCACGATACTCCTAATACTATTTACCCTGGACCTCAAGATTTGAATATTGATCAAGATTCTTTATATATTACCTACTCCAATTATCAAGATTATTATCATAATCTTCAAGAAAATATAGATTCAAACTCTATTTGCCCTGGCCCTCAAGATTTGAATATTGATCAAGATTCTTTTTATCCTAATACTCAAAATGGGAATATAGGTTCAAACTCTCCTAACACTATTTATCCTGACCCTCAACATTTGAACATTGATCAAGATTCTTTATATATTTCCTACTACGATTATCATGATACTGCTTATTCTGATCCTCATCATGATCCAACCTCTTCTAACAATATTTACTCTGGCCCTCAACATTTGAACATTGATCAAAATTCTTTATATATTACCTACTCCAATTATCAAGATTACGCTTATAATAATCCTCAACTTGAGAATACAAATTCAAACCCTAACACTATTTATTCTAGCTCACTTTATCAAGATTCCGCTTATCCTAATCTTCAAACTCTCCTAACACTATTTACCCGGCCCTTAAAACTTGAAGATTGATCAATTCTCCATGTATTATCTACTCTAATCCTCCCATTGACAATTCTATAGGAATTACTTTCAGTTCTACCTGTTATGATTCTCCATTTATGAATAAGAACAAAACTTTAATCCTCATATGAATCCTAAATCATTATAAATCAATTGTGCAGTACCTGATAATTTTTTAAATTCTCTTAATTAGAAAAGATATTGCTTTAACTTATAAAGCAATTCTTCAATCATATATTCTAATCAATATTAATGTAGATTTAACTTTATTAAAAGATTGTTATTATATTCACGCAAAACAGTAATCATATTTATGTTTTTCTCTTTAATAAACTACTTTTAACAATATATAAATAAAATTTTATTATTTTTCAAATACTTTAATCAAAGTAATACTTTAAAGTCAACTAAGTTAAATTATTCAGTTCGATATATTTTAAATATTGATCTTCTTTAAAGTTGACTTTAATAATTGTATAGTACAACATTTTGTAATTATATTTTTTGCACGATATAATCTAAGAAGTTGATTTTATTTTTATTATTTATTATACATATGTATTTGTTATTATAATACATACTAAACATTAGCATCTACATCTAGAAGCGTTTAAATAATAAAGAGTAATAAATAGATCACCGTGTTACACCTCATGAATGATAGATGATATGATGTACAATAAATACGCCAATGTTACTAATAAATATAGAAGTAATGACTCAAAAAACTCATTTAATTCATAATTCGTTTCAGTATATTTTTTCTTTTAAAAAAATTCGAATTCAACTCTCTCTTACGGTCAGACCAATCATTCTGAATTTTGAATTTGGTCTGAAGAGATTAAATTTTGTTGGTTTAGTTATCTTCCGGGAGTTTACATTTTTGTAAAAAAATTTTATTAGCTAAACTGAGGCTTTGCCTTTGGTTTATTTATTGTAAATAAAATTTAGATTATACAAAGTCTATTTAAAGAAATTTACAAATAAAACCAAGACTCGGGATGAAACTTCCAAAAGAGGACCACATTTTTGTAGAATTAATTATATCTTCTTATGGCTTATTATTATTTATTATCATTATTTCATAATATTATTAATGTCAATTATTAATCATGTTTTCACAAATAATGTCCAAATTTGATCTATTTAAAAAGGTATTTGTTAAAAAAAAACAAAAATACAATAATTGATTTGAAAACAATAATATATAAACCAAACGAGGATAATTTGTATAACGGAGTGAACCAACCAACATTTTGTGTTTGAAATTTAAATTTAAATCCCGTACGGAATATATACAATTTGGAATCCTATATGCAAAAATCTAATAATAGTAAATTTATACTAAAATCCATCGGGAAATTCTGTATTTTTCCTTTTTTTTTATTATTTACCATTTAAATTGTTTATTTGTTTTTGACTAATCTATAATTTATACTTTTACCCGGTAATTCCTATCCATACGTTACGCCATCCGTTAGTAAAAACCATCACAGATTAGTGAAGTATTCATAAAGTATTTGAATCTAATCTTCGGTAAAAAAAGTTCGATTATTTTGCAGTAGTCACTATTGTTTATGATACGATTTTAATTTAGTGCATCAAATTAAAATCAAAAAATCACTTATTTCATTCGATAGAAGAATAATAATATGAATAAGGAGCACGAAATTTACACGATACTTAAAACATTTTATACAGGATTATACATAAATTTATTAAAGCTTAGAATCATTAAATATGTTGTCGAATGCAATTCTCTAAAAATCGCGTTTTATTGTGTTTCGAATACTATTCAAAAATCCATATTGTCTTTTTACATATCATGCGTATAAACACAAAGAATATAATAATTCAGAAAATTTTAATTCAGAGTCATAAATGAAGAAAATTGATTCTCTGCAGAATTGAGAAAGTATTTTTGTAGAATTCCTATCAAAGGAACGCTACTAATTAGTCTGATAAAGCCGATAATTAAATAATTACTTACCGTAAACATAATGTATATAATGAATATAATATATGTATTTATATAATATACATTATATACATAATCATTGAAATTATAATCTTTTATATAAATATTCAATAAGTATAGAACATAAAACACCAATAAAAGTTGATTGATTTAATTAATAATTAATTTTTAGAAATTCGGAGAACTTTTTAGTCATGCGAATAATGAGAATTTAAAATTTTAGAATAAAGAAACATATATTAAGATATAATAAAGAAAATACAATAAAGATAAATAAACAATATAATTAAAATAATACAACAATAAAGAAATTATAATAAATAAATAAATATATAATTAATGAAAATATAATAAATAAATAAATATATAATTAAAGAAAATATAATAAAGAAAAATGCGTATACAAATTTAAAGATAAATTATTGTCTGTTATATGAAATTCTTTATTATAAACATTTTTTTGTTATAATAACTCCGTAATTGTTTACATAAGTCATAACTCTTTTGTTTAATGTTTTTCATTGCGTAACCGTTTAAATTATTTTTAGCTATTTATATAACAAGTAAGTACCGTACATCAATGAAAAAACATGTTTTTAAGATTGCGATATACTGTATATATTTTTTCGAACACGGTTACTATTTATAATTTTTAATCTTTAGTTTATCTTAAATATTAAAAATCAAATTTTTATAAATTGCGCATATTATGAATATTATGATATGATTACATTATTGGTTATTATTAACTAATTCATACCAAAAGAAGATTTGGTGTCAACAAGAATTTCAATACATTAAGGAAGATTGCGACATAACAGCTAACACTGCCGTAATCCGTAACACTGGCCGTAATCCGTAATTCTGGTCGTAATGCCATAATTGCCATGATCATAATTATATATAACAGTCTTAATTATATAATTAAATCTCAAAGAATAATACTAAATAAACTTATACATAAGAATAAATTACATTCTACTGTAAAAATTTTAGACCCGCTTCGTTAAAATTAAGAGAATAAAAAACGTTTAAAGTTTAAATGGCTGAAAAATCAAAAACGACTATCATTCTCCCAATTTGTAAGGTTTAAGGTTCAACTTTTTAAGGATGCAAATTATTCTTATCCTGTTTACTTAGTATCGTTTTTGGGATTTAATTATATAATCAAAAGCTTTATACGTAGTTACGAGGTAACAGTGTGAACGAGAAATTTGGCACATGACAAAAAATGATTTTCTTCACTAAAAATAAATCAGATTCGCACTACTTAGTTATTATATTTATAGCTACGTTGGACAATTATTTTTTTTGTTTACCGAAAAAATTCTCACGAAATGTCTTTTCAACGAAAAAAAAATAGCAACGAAACTTTATTACATTTGTGGAATAACGGTACACATAATGCCAAAAGAATTACATAAACTTACAAATATCTACAATTTATAGAAACATAAAAAAAAAATAAAAAAAAAAAGGTTCATTAAAGCATGTTGGAGGGAACGGTCGACCCAAAAAAATTACCACAAATGCTTCCCGAGCGCTTGGTCAATACATAAGGCATGACACATCTCTTTCTACAAGAACTTTGGCAAGAAAATTAGAAAATATGAATATAGAAGTATCTTATAGAACCATTGGAAGGCACCTTGCAAGTATTGAATATTTAAAAAAACTTCCCAAAGCAATTCCTATGTTAACTGAAGCACACAAACAAAAAAGTTTAGAATGGGCCAAAAAACACATTAATGATCGATGGAATAAAACAATATTTACTGATGAAACTGCTTTCCAACTTTTTAGAAACACTGTAGAACGTTGACCAGTTCGTTGTATGCCTAAAGATCATACAGCATGGGGTGGTTTTTGCATAAAAGGAAAAACGAGTTTATTTTGTTTTAAACAAATTATGAATGCTGAATTTTATGTGGAAATTCTTCGTACACATAATCCTGAGATCACCCAGATGCTTGGTAATAATTTTTGCTTTCAGCAAGACAACGACCCAAAGCATACAAGTCGTCTTGCCAAGGCCTTTCTTCAAGAAAATTTCCCAAAGGTTTTAGAGTGGCCATCAAATAGTCCGGATTTAAACCCCATTGAAAACCTTTGGGTAATTGTAAAGCGTAATGGATGCCAAAAAATCTAAATGATTTGGAAAGATTGATGATGGAGGAATGGCAAAATATTCCCCAAACGGTTCTAATTAATCTTGTAGACTCAATGAGCCGTCGTTATTAATTATGGCGAACAAATATCATATTAATTTTTTATTAATAAAGTTAGCCGATCTTCGGCATTGAAATACATTAAAATTTCACATGATTTATTATAATAATTGATGATTCTCATTTTTTTTTGTCCCACACTGTATATATAATTATATTAAGGCATAATTACGGCCAGAATTACGGATTACGGACCTAATTATGCCAGGCATATTTGTCTCCTTACCATATCGGCTAATTTTCGGAATGGCATCACGGTTGAAGATCTAAATATGTGTTGTGAATGGCTGGAGTATAAACATATATTTCGAGAAAAGTGTAAAAACTCTTAAATATCTTAGTACTTTATTATGTTAACTACCTTCAGTCTCTAAATAAAAGTGTTTAGCTCAAAATTTTACATCTATTTATATTTTTTTTACAATGCTTTGTTATGTAAAACACCTCTAATTAAATAAGTTTTTGATCTGTCACCTGACCTCAAACATAAACCCATTAGACCACTCCACTACCCTGCGAGAACTCGTTTATTTCTTTCTTCTAATGACAAATATTATTGTTTAATTTATTATTTTATATTTATTTGCTTATTATACTAGAAAGGAGGAACTTTAGTTAATGGTTAAGGGCGTATTGTCTATAAACTTTGCTTATAAGTAAAGTTTCGTATAACAGATTGTAATTTTTTAAATTGCCGATATGCATTCTTTATATCGTAATTTGTACGATTTGCATTTTAAAAAAATAAATTTTTAGACAAGACTTTTCAGGGCTTCTTTACTGCTCAAATATTCAAAATTATTCTCAAGTAAAGTTTTATATAATTTTATTATATAGATATATGGCAAAATTATTAATACGGAAAATAAAACTTTGTTTGAATTGCTAATAATTTGAATTATCTGTGAAATTAGAAATTATCTTATAAAATCCAAAGATTCTTGATTAAAACTCATTTCTATTTTATTTATCATTTAATTTTTAAAAATAATGCATTTCAAAATTTAGAAAATTTTTAAAATGATGATATTATTGTAAGACGTCCAAGTAATGATCTACCATAGTGTCTATTTTTAAAACGAGATGAAAGAATCAAAAATTTGGAATTATGTGGAATCCAAAAAATTGGAAGAAAGGTCTCCCAAAAACTTTACAACCTTAAAAAACAACTTTTAGATTTTATGGATAAATTAAACCATATTAGAAAAATCTTAATGAATGATTTAAAGCAACACCTTTTTTTCCAGATCGACCAGTAAAATCCATTATTATTTCTCCAAGAGTAAATGAATCATTTTCAATTATGGTTAACGAAGAACATATGGCAATGTGTTTATAATCAACCAACAATTTATTCTTTCTTAGAGGAAGTAAAGAAGGAACTAATGAATTATTGACGGATTTAATCCTTTAGCTTGGGATATATTCGTGTGAAAATCAATAAAGTTTATATTTTCATTTAAGTATTCAAAATTCAATTCTTAGTAGAATTAGGGATGAAAGTAAGGCTTTATTGTATCCTCTTGAAAGGATAGATTTGGTCCATATTTCGATGAAATATGAAATCAGATGTATCTAATTTTACTCAAGATAAGCGAAACGAGTGTCTTAATTCTATAAATAATAAATATGAAAATCTATTAGATTAGAAATATTTAAAGTTATTAAAAAATCCAACCAAAATTTTTTTCACCAAGTTTAATTTACTCAACATTGGTTCAAAAAGAAATTTAAATTATTAAATGATTAATGATAAACAATTATATTAAGAATTATCATAAGGTCTATTAAGTTAAAAGGGATATTTTTAATTATATGAACGTTTATATCGTGAAGTAACCAACTTATGTCATTTCAATTAGTGTTAATATTATTATTCCTTGTTCTTAAATATATGCTATACAATTAATCAATTCTTTTATTTTTTTACATTTAAGATGGTTTGAAATTTTTTCTACCATAATCAATAGTGTAATTAGCGAACGTTAGAGAAAAAAAAATATATATGTATAATACAAATTTAATTAAATATTTGATAGTAATAATAGTTTAATTTTAATATTTGAAAATCATTTCCTTTTTTCCAAAAATTAGTTCCTTTAAAAAATTCAAATTATTATCATTATTCTATTTATAATATTTAAATATTTATTATATTTCGGAAGAAAGAAATGAAAAAATTTAGTTTCTGTGAATATTTTCTACAATATTCATACACTTTACATTTTAAATCGATCACACTTGGTTTGTCAGAACTTTCTATTTCTTTTATTTTGTTAAACAACATTCTATAATTTCTATTATTTGAAAATTCCGGCACAATGTAGATCGGTTTTCTTATTTGAGCAAATAATGGAATTCCATAATGGATTTCGAGACTTCGCTATAAAACTCATGCTTTTGTTTCAGTTGTTACAAGACAATAATAATAACTAAATTCGGTTTCCACCATATACTACTTAGCTATTATATGTAATAATAATTAGCCTAGCCAAAGTCAAAAATAACTAGCATTAGGTTTTGATATATAACTTCAAAGATTTTTTATTAATAAGTTTAACCTATTCTTCAAAAAAAAGAACAAATAAAATTTAATGTATTCTGTGTTTTCACTAGATATGATATAATATAGTCATTAAATTGGTAATGATTGAATGATTGCTCTATAAGTTAAAGCCAAATCTTCGGAAAGATAACTCATGAGTTTTTCGTCATCCATAGTCATATATGCTTGAAGAGAATTTTCAAAATTATCAAATACAAACGTGTTAGAGTAGATAGTATATGGGAAGTTTTGATCACCAAGAGGTGAAGTAAAGTTTTGATTCATATTGGTAAATGGAGAATTAAAGGTGTCTAAAGAGACATTGTTGTCATTTGTACTAGGTACTTGCTTATTGTGGATGAAACAAAGAGAAGAAACCTTTTCTTTGAAAAGTTCTTTAACCTTTTTAGCTAACTGTTTGTAATGGTTTTTAACACATTGTGGTTCATTTTGCCATGAATTGCTAGCATATGAAGATATATCTTTAAGTTCAAGATTATAATTTGTAACTATATGATTAAATTCTTTTCGATAAATCATAAACGCGTTCATAGTTTGATTAACGCTCTTAATTCCATTTTTTATTTGTAATTGTACAATTTCATCTGCATTGGTAGATGGAGGAAATGGAACTTGTATGTTTGATGTATTTTTGTAGTTAATAGGAAGTGGATCTTGTATGTTTAAAGTATTTTGGTTGTTAATAGGAAATGGCATATTTATGTAAAAAATTTTTATTAATGAATTATAATCAATAAAGTTTTTTGTACATATATCAAATATACTCGTATCTGTAGAAAGCCAATGTTACTAATTCAAAGAGAAGAGTTAAGTAAAAAGTTTTGTTTTTTTATAAGTGATTTGATTTAATAAATAAATGTAAACGAAATCTCAAAAGAAATTCTAAAAAGGAAAAGAAATCCCAAAAAAGAAACTATGCGTAAACATATTTTCCGGGATCTACACCATTTTTATAATTCCGGTCAATACACTCCCCGACCCAAAAGTTTAGGAATACCCTACGATTTACATAAAAATGGAATTATACGATTGTGAGACCTAAATAAAATAAATAAAAAAATATATTCTTTTGTTTTAAAATGGTTAAAAAAAGGAGCTAATGGATTTCGAACGGGAAAAATTATTGGTTTTTATCTTGCTGGTGACTCAAAAAGGACCATTTCGAAAAAAACGGGGTATTGGAAGACTACTATTCACAACATCATAGCTAGGTTTCGTGAAAAAAAAAAAACACTATTTCTGTTGCTCCCGACCAAAAAAAATTAAACAACCGTTGATAAGTGTCGTCTCAAGGCAGTCCTCATCAAAAATCATCGTAATTCATCTGAACAATTACAAGATTTTAATAACTGTACTGGAAATGAAGTAAGAAGAATACTCTAAAGCGTACATTATATGAAATGGGGTATCTTATTCGAACAGCTCTTTTAGAAAACCCAATATTAGTGAAAAATAGAAAAATCCGTTTAAATTGGACACGCGAAAGAATATCAATAATTGGTCTGGCAAAATTCATGTATGGCGGCTTCCAAAAGAAAAATGTGATATTTATTGCCTTGTTCCAACTTTAAAGCATGGTGATGGAGGTGTTATGATGTGGGGGTGTTTTTCTTGGTAACAGGTATCCCACTAGATATTAATTGATTTTTATTAAGTTTTTACAACTGTAAGTATATTTATTTTTTTTTTTATATAAAAATATGATTTTTACGTTAAATAATTTTTAATTTATTATTTTCGAAGATTTAGAGTTGAATTTTTTTATTGTAAATAACATGATTTTCAATAATAAAAAATTAAATACTATTGTCATATAAAAGTTTTTTTTTTAATAAATTTAAAATTATTAATTAAATGTAAATAATAAATTAAGATAAAATAATTGGCTGAAAAATAATCCCGATTTTCAATAATCTTTCAAGTGGACCTAAACTTTTGGGTCGGGAGTGTATATATGTGAACATCGTGATATACATATAATAATGGGAGTTGGGTAATTAAATTGATAATTAAGAAATCTTGATGATTAGTTGTAAACAGATTGAGCTGTATTCTTTTTCTCCTATTCAAAGGGAAAAAATTAATCAACAAAAAAAAAATACATTATTCACACCTATACTCGACATTGTATTTCAAAATCAAGTTTATATCGGAATTTATAATTATTTTTCTTTATTTCCAGCATGATTTCTCAATAAAATTTCACTTTCATGATAAAAAAATGTATAGAAATCATTTTCATAATTCAATTATCGATTAACTTTATGTATACATGTTTCTAATTATATTTATGATAAATAAAATTACATTTTTGTTTAAAAAACAGTAAATATTAATTTTCGCAAAGATGGCTTACAAACATATTGAAAAATAGATTTTTTTTTTATTTTACAAAAATTTTTTATGACGTATTTTCAGTATTTTGAACTGAACCAAGTAAACTGTGTCTAAAAGTGGTTAAGTAAAGTAATTTAGTAGTCTGACATTATTTAAATTTTTAATTATAATAGAATAAACTAGTTTATTTTTATTATTTTTATTATTTAAAATTTCGCAACATATTATTTAATATTTAAGATTACTTTTCATTTACATCTTCATTTTGATATTGAGTTAATTATATTTAGGATTGACCTTTATCAGCTTAGTTTAGAGATGGAATACTTCGATTAGAATATAAAATAGAACTTATTTTTTTTTAAAAAAAAAAAAAAAAATTTAATAACGTCATCAGAACTTGAGTTTTCAAGTGGGGACTTTCACTTTCTTGTTTAAACCATTTTTTTCTGTTTAATTAACTCTGGTTCTTTGATATAGGAAATCAATGAAGATGAATCTTCTGAGTGATGCGCCATTTGCATTTGGTAAAAGTTGAAATTGGTAACAAGGACAGAAAAAAAGAAGAAAATAAAAGGAAGGAAAATTATAAATAATCTATTTACTAATTATTTATACTTTTTATATATAGTTGTAGACTTTCTATTTTTAATGAATAGGATTTCACTGTACTAAATTCAGTACATTGTACTAAATTCTGACAGTTTTTGAAGCCGTATTTCTACTAATTGAAGAAGCCACCTGACTTCATATTATATAATAACTTTATTTTGAGTGGCTTGTCACGTACAACCGGTCACAAGACATATTTTATGTGGAGAATTCACGTGGGCTAAAATTCTTCCACAGTATTAACCCGAAATGTACTGGTATACATGAGATGTCAATCATTTCAATAAAAGAAACAAGTTTTTAAACATATAGATCGTACAAGGTAAATATTTTTTTTATATATTCTTCTATGTCTGTTCTATCAATTTTTCAATTGTGCAGCTAATAATTTTTTCTCAGTGATTCACAAATTGTGTACTGAATTCAGTACACCTACACTCACCTATCAAAAGTATTAGACCTAAGGCTTTTTTTAAAATTTATTAACATTATTCAAAAGTCACAAGGAATAATCGAAATTATGCAAACTTTTTTTTTTATTAGATTCCCCTGAACTAGGCTTATCATATAATGCATTTGTGTTAAAATTGAATGTCTACAAGTGGAGTAATTACACTTTAAATAAAAGTGACAATGAATAATAATTTTAATCTTTGAACGTTACCCATACCAGATTCGATGGATATTAAAAATAGATGCCAACTATTATATATATAAAACTGTCGCCAGACATGATATCTACAACTTTAATTAGAAGCATAATTCATAGTATCTAGTAAAAATTTGGACTTTACTTAGACGTGAATAAAAACGGCCGAAATTTAATAAAAATAAAGATTGAAATAAAAAATAATTATCGATCGTTTATTCGTCTATAATTTTATTATTTGTTTATAAAAAGATAAAAGTAGTACTAAGTAACCCTAAAGCCTGATACATAGAGCATCTTTTGTAAAAATTTCAGTCTATACATTGTGAATTGAGTGAATAATAAATAATTAAATTTCAGAGAATAATTTTAAAACGTCTGATATTTAACTGTCAATATTAAGTCTAATTCCCAATTTAAAAGTCTGAAACTTTCACAGTAGATGTTCTATATAATAGTCTAATAGTCTTTAACTTTATTTAGTATCATTTATATTATTATATTAATAGATAAAGAAGTTTAATATGTAGATACGATTAATAATTATTTTCAACATTTTTTTTGATCTTTTTAAAAATGATTGACACGAATTTTTACTATACTAAATTTTCTTTATAATTTAAACGATCATTATATTTTCAATTTTTTTGAAAAATTCTAAAACTTTGCAGTAGATGCACTTAATTTTTGACTTTAACATTACTTAGATAAACTTTTACTGTTTTATTATTAAAAAACAAAGTTTTATATGTGACTACGATTGGCAATTATTTTCGAATTTTTAAATCCGTGTCGATCATTTTAAAAAAATCAAAAAAAAAAAAATTTGAAAATAATTACTAATCGTATCTACATATTAAATTTCTTTATCTATTAATATAATAATATAAATGGTTCTAATAAAGTTAAAGACTATTAGACTATTATATAGAGCATCTACTGTGAAAGTTTCAGACTTTTAAATTGGGAATTAGACTTAATATTGACAGTTGAATATCAGACGTTTTAAAATTATTCTCTGAAATTTAATTATTTATTATTCACTCAATTCACAATGTATAGGACTGAAATTTTTACAAAAGATGCTCTATGTATCAGGCTTTAGGGTTACTTAGTACTACTTTTATTGTTTTATAAACAAATAATAAAATTATAGACGAATAAACGATCGATAAATATTTTTTATTTCAATCTTTATTTTTATTAAATTTCGACCGTTTTTATTCACGTCTAAGTAAAGTCCAAATTTTTACTAGATACTATGAATTATGCTTCTAATTAAAGTTGTAGATATCATTTCTGGCGACAGTTTTATATAAAATAGTTGGCATCTATTTTTAATATCCATCGAATCTGGTATGGGTAACGTTCAAAGATTAAAATTATTATTTATTGTCACTTTTATTTAAAGTGTAATTACTCCACTTGTAGACATTCAATTTTAACACAAATGCATTATATGATAATCCTAGTTCAGGGGAATCTAATAAAAAAAGTTTGCATAATTTCGATTATTCCTTGTGCCATGATTGACTTTTGAATAATGTTAATAAATTTTAAAAAAAGCCTCAGGTCCAATACTTTTGATAGGTGAGTGTATTTTTACTAAATTACTGTATATCGTGACTTTAAAATTTTATAATTTGTTAACTATATTGTTAATGTAAATGTGTACTAAATTCAGTACGAAAAGTGAAATCCTATCCATTAATTAAAAAAAAGTTAACCATTTGCAATGCCATGAAACTAACCAAGAAAAGTTTTATATACTTGTTAAAATAGCAGCAGAGATAACGATATTTTTTACGGGAAATATACAGTATATAATAAAATAATTTTCCTGTAATTAAAAGTGATATGAATATAAATCTGAATTAACCAAAAATAAAGAAAGACTAGCATTAATACCCGAATTTCTTGCTTCGTGTATGAGTAACTAATTTTATAAACTTTTTAGAAAGTTTATATCCAAAAGATCTATCTATAACATTTGAATATATTGATTCTATTAATAAAATGGAATTATAATAAATATTAGTAGTTTTTATTAATGTATTTTTTATTCGTTTCAAATATAGAATTTGTTAAAACAAAAATAATGCAATAAAAAATTTTTAAATATACATTAAGTAATACATTATACAGTTGGAAAATTTTAATAATAAAAAAAAATAGGGTATTGTTAAAGCTCACCGGTGGTGATTGTCACCATCAACCCTAACCCTAACTTTGCCTATACTGGTGAGCTTTAAAATTACTAAAAATTTGGGTGTATATATGTTGAGAAAAAACCTATTTTTCAATGTTTTTCAAGATAGCTTTGCAAAAATTGATATCTGAACACTTTAAACAGTTTTACTCGGTTTAAAATACTGAAAATGCGTTAGAAACGCCAAAAATTTTGTAAAGAATATATATTCTTCAATATATATATATATATATATATATTTGTAATATACTGTAACTAAAATATTTGTCAATTGTTGTAAGTATTTTTTAAATTTCAAGAAAGTAAAGAAAACAAATATACATCATTATTAAAAATAAATAAATAAAATCTGATAGTGGATGAACAATAATATTACAGTCGGAATGAAAATAATTTCTGGTTCTATCATAAAAGCATAAAATATTTGTAATATGGATCTTACCATTAAACTGGTAATGATTTAATGATTGCTCTATAAGTTAAAGCTAAATCTTCGGAAAGATAATTCATAAGGTTATCATCATCCATCGTCATGTATGTATTAAGAGAATTTTCAAAACTATCAGATAAATCAGGTGAATAATTAAAGTAGGTAGAATATGGGGAGGAGAGATTTTGATCCATATTAACAGGTGGAGGAAAGTTTTGATTCGTATTAAGTGAAGGATTAGAGGTACCTAAAATGGCGTGATTATCATTTTTACTATTTATTTGATTGCTATTGATAAAACAAAGAGTAGGAACCTTCTCCTTGAAACATTTTTTTACATTTTTTGCCATCTGTCGGTAATATTCTTTGACATTTTTTGGCTCATTTCGCCACGAAATGCTAACAAATTTAGATACATCTTTACGTGAAAGATTAAATTTTGCAACTATATGATTATATTCTTTTCGATAAATCATGAATGCGTTCATTGTTTCATTAACATTCTTAATGCCATTTTTTAAATGAATTTGTACGATTTCATCTACACTAATTGATGGGGGAAATGGGACTTTTACTATGTTTACGGTATTTCGGTAGTTAATAGAAAGAGACATATTTAAATAAGAACTTTTCTGCTTGCTTGTGAAGAGATTATTTATTTAAATTTTTCTAGTTGAATTATGCCAGTATTTAAAATTGGATACAAAACTCCATACATGAGCTGATATCACATAGCTGAGTAAACAAATCACAAATAAGGCAATGTGATTCTTCAAACAATAAATATTAGAATTTAAAAAATTACTAATACAGTATATATAAAAAAAAAAAAAATTTTTTTTTATTTAAATTAAAAAAAATTATATAAATTAAAAACAATTCTATAAAAAATTATATAAATTAAAAACAATTCTATAAAAAATTTTATAAATTAAAAACAATTCTATAAAAAATGATTTTATGAGCGTCTTCCTTTAAGTTTCTTGATTTAGAAAAAGAGATTCGATGCTTATTTGTTTAGTAAATAAAAACTTTACACTTTATAATAATATAATAATATAATATTTATTAGTTTATTATATTTATTATTTTATATTTATTAAAATTATTATTATAAATTTTTATTCTTTTTTATAGCAAATTATCAAAGACAAGTGTAAACCAAATAAAATATTTAATATTCGGAATTAGTTTACTCAAATACATATTTCTTTATATCTAGTCATGTTTCTTAATGTTGACATATTGGTATGTATTATTTGTTTGCGTTTTATCCTATCCTTTTCTACAATCTTCACAATTTATATGTCTTAAATTTAAAAAAATATTAATATATAAAAAAAAATTTATTACTAGAATCGGTTAAATAGAGTCAAAAAGATGCTCTTTCCGATTTTTTTATATCTGATAAATGGCAAAGTTTGAAGAATTTTACTTTCTTTCTCCGGTATATTATTCATAATTCATATACCCATTTTTAACAAAAAAAAATACCCGCAACTTACAAAATAATTAAAATAATTAGAATTCTAAAGTCAGGTATTCATTATTATAACTTATTTTTGTATATTCTATAAAAATGCCTCTTCCATCAATAGATGTATATAGTTTAGTCCAAGAGCGTTTAAGAAAAGGTCCTCAAAATAAAGGGGAAGGGAATGTTTTCATGTTTTACCTTAAAATTTATAGAAAAGAACATAGAGATAGAATTTTTAATCTGTCAAGTAGACGTGTATCTGAAATTGCCGGCGATTCGTGGTCTCAAGAGCCAGAAGATGTTAAAGATATTACAAAAAGAAATTCGAGGAGTTTAAGAAATGTTTTAAAGAGAATGTCGGTTCTCCGCGTTTTATCAACAAATTCGGAAATAGTAATCAGATTTCGAATTCTAATTATATTTATTTAAATTTTCAACTTGAGAATACATACTCAAATTCTTCTAACACGATTTATCCTAGCCCACTTTATCAAGATTCTGATTATCCTATCCCTCAACTTGAGAATACATATTCAAATTCTTCTAATATTAGTCCACCTGTTTATCCTATTCCTCAACTTGAGAATACATATTCAAATTCTTCTAATACTAGTCCACCTGCTTATCTTATTTTTCAACTTGAGAATACATATTCAAATTCTTCTAATATTAGTCCACCTTATCAAGATCCTTCTTATCCTATTTCTCAACTTGAGAATACATATTCAAATTCTTCTAATACTAGCCCACCTGTTTATCCTATTTCTCAACTTGAGAATACATATTCAAATTCTTCTAATACTCGTCTACCTGCTTATCCTATTCCTCAAATTGAGAATACATATTCAAATTCTTCTAATACTAGTCCACCTTATCAAGATCCTGCTTATTCTATTTCTCAACTTGAGTATACATATTCAAATTCTTCTAATACTAGTCCACCCTATCAAGATCCTGCTTATCCTATTTCTCAACTTGAGAATACATATTCAAATTCTTCCAATACTAGCTTACCTTATCAAGATTTTGCTTATTCTGATACAGATTCAAACATTCCTAACACTATTTACACTGGCTCTCAACATGTAAACATTGGCCAAAATTCTTTATGTATTTATCAAGATTCTGATTATCCTATTTCTCAACTTGAGAGTAAAGATTCAAACTTTCCTAACACTATTTGTTTTAGCCCGCTTCATCAAGGTTTTACTTATTCTAATTCTCAACTTGATTCAAATTCTCCCAACACCATTGTTGATTAAAATTCATTATATATTAATTAGACCGTCGATGATGACATAGAGTATTGATAATCCACTTATTTTAATATTATAAAAAATTGTAATTGCATAAAAAAAAATATGCTTTAAAAGCATCCCAAAATTGTATTAATAAAAATTTGTATACATATAATCTGTAATTTTGCACAATAAATGGGATTGTCAAAGGAACAAATTGATCATATCGCGATGTGCATCTCATAACTTTTAAGCGACTTGGCACTATGTCTATGGACCCTTTACTAATAGAAAACCTTAATAACAGCCAAAATATAAAATATTATGAAATTTAAAATTTTTAATTGGTTGAAACCTATTGCGCCACTATAAAGCATAGCATAATATATAAATTATTGGTTTTACTTGACAATATCGATATATGTACAAATAGTTCGATATAAAATTTTTATTGAATTCATCATAATTCGCATAATTCAAATGCTTTAATCAAAGAAGGCAACAACTAAGGATTATTGACCTCACGGTCAAAATTTATGAATGATCTAACCTAATGTTTGAAAATTCTTCCCCCTCGGAAGTTTTCTTGGTATATGTGCTAAATAGATTAAGATTCTTTAAAATTTAATTTAAATGATTATTACAATTATTAATAATTAATAATAATAAAGCTATTGTCATATTTAATTGTTCCTTATTATTTTTATTATTATTATTATTATTGTTTTTAATTATCAAAATTCATAAAAGGGAATTTCTACACATTCCCTTTTATGATTATTATTAAATTGTTTTTTTTTTTGGTGCCAGTAAACGATTGAATTTACTCAGTGAAAGTTTATTTAATTTGCAAATTTCAGTGGTTTTTTCTCCAGGAGTTTACACTTTTGTAAAAATCCATTATTATCTTCATGAATTATTATAAATATAGTACAAAACTTTATTTCATTAATAATTATTGATTTCTAATAATAATAATTAAACAAACTAATAAATCACTTATAGCTTGTTATTTTTATTATTTATCTTTGTTGCTATTATTTTATTATTTTTATTACAGTATTCTATTATTTTTCTTTTTTTAATTAAATAAATATTTATATGTCACAATCTAGAAATTTCCTCAGAAAAAATTGCAAATATTTTCAGGAAAAATATAATTAATGGTATCAGGAAGTAATTCTAAATTTATTATCAGTATTTTATTATTTTTTATTATTTTTATTACAGTATTTTTTTTATTTTATTTTTTTTTCAATTAAATAAAATCTTTACCACGTCAAAATCCGTAAAAGGAATTTACTAAGAGACACTTTAAATTCCCTTTTATGAATTTTAAAAACTGGCAAAGTAATATTTCAGAAAAAATAAATGTTTTGCTTTTTTGACGTTGTACATGTGCTAAATAAATATATATGCATAAAGAGTAAGTAACGGTTCAACTTAGTCCTACTCGATAAATAATTTTTTTTCAAAAGATTCGAGTTCAACTCTTTCTTATTCCCAAAATTATTGAATTATTATTATTGAGTTATAGATCCCACGGCACAACATAATTTAGGACGTTATTATGCGATCAAGAACAAGCGTTAGAATTGTTTAAAAAAGTTGTGGAAAATGAAGCTAATACATGATTAGTGAACACTATGATCAGTTATAAAGAAAATGTAGAAGTGTTTTAATAATGTAAAGGAAGAAATAATATTACAACATTACACTGTATAACGATAAGCTATTTATTAATAAAATATTTTCGTTAATATATGTAAATTGTAAAAATCAAGTTGCTTGAAATTCTTATAAAAATTGATATGTATAAAATATAAGGTTTGGTACTTTTTCCGAATTGAAATTTTTGTCTAGAATTTATGTTTTAAAAATAAAATCTTAATTTGAAATATTTGCATGTATGATATACTTTTTAAGAAATGGCTTATCACAATACACAATGAAAACATTCATGACAAAGAAAGTTCAATTTAATCATTCAAGATTAGGGCTACATGTGAATTTATAATTACCAATTTTAATATATTTAATTCGGAGTTGCACCGTTGTCAATGAACGATTTTACATATCAGATTTGGAATATTCTAGAGGAAATCCATTTTAGAAATCAAAAGAATCATTCATACCAATAATACAATTCATGATTTCATATATTGCAAATAATAAACATATAAAATTATTCAATTAAATGTTTGTTCTTTAACCTTTTTAATTTTTCTTATAACCTCGTTATATAATTAATTCATCACTTTAATATATTTGTTGTGACTCAGATCGATTCTTGACTCGGTTGTCACCTGAGGTACGTCAAATAAAATTGTGATTATTTGAAGAGAATTTGCGAAAGCTCCCGTGACAAGAAGTTAAAGTTAGTGTTAGTTAGGGTTAGGGTTAGTTTAACCTAGAGCGATAAACACATGAGTCAAGAAGACATCTGAGGCACAACATATATATTCCATTTCAGACCTATTATACTGAACAAATCATCACATAAATGAAAAATATATATTCCAATGAAAATAAATTTCGTCAGTACTAAAAATTAGCTTAAGAAAAAAATGGTGACGCACAATTTTGATCTTGGGAATTGTTATGGCAATGGAATTGGAATGAAGAGAAAGCATTCCAGTGGTTTCTAAAACTGTTGAGAGAGGAGAAATTTTTGGACAAAGTTCAATTGAATATTTCTATTGAAATGAAATTTCATATGTTTAAAAAAAAACAGAATAGAATAAATTTAGAACATCAATGTATCTAATTGTGAAAATTTAAATCAACTAAATAATACATTTTCAGATTCTAAACTTATAGAGATGGATAGATTATAGTAAATTGCAAAACAAAAAATATCTAGTTGAAGGAGAGTTTGGCAGTATTTGGAAAGCAGAATGGATAGAATTCCTGAAGGGGTATTTGAATTTTATAAATCAAATCAAGTTGCCTTCCTTGAAGAAATTTAAAGATTCATAAGAAATTAGTTCAGAATTTTTAAAAGAGGTAAATATATCAATATGTTTTCATAATGAATAATATATTTATTTTAATTTTAATTTTTTGTAACTATAATTAATTGCAAATTTCAAGATTCAATGACAAAAGAATTTTTGATATATGAAAATGGAAACTTGATAGAATTTCTTAATCAATTCCTTGGATTGATTACTAAATTCTTTATTAGAGATTAAAAGTCATTCATAGTAAAGGATTTGTCCATCATGATCTTCACCCAGGAACCTAACGATAAATAAATCAAAATATAAATTTGTAAGATTAGGAGGCTTAAGATTATGTAGATTAGAAAATGAAGCTGAAGCATATGGAATATTACTATACCTGCGGTATTGAATAAATATCAATATACACAAGCTTCAGATATTTATAGTGTTGGAATTATTATGTGAATAATTTCAACAGGAAGAAAACCAATTTCTATTAGAGTATATGATTCAGAATTAGCTGTTGATGTTTCAATGAACTTCGATCAAAAGTTAATAAAGGCACACCTCAATGTTATGTAGAATTGTTGGAGAAAAAATTGTTGGAGAAAAAGATCGCTCTGAACGCCCAAGTGCTGAAATTATTTCTAATATATCAGAACATTGGGTTAAATGACTTGTATTAATAAAAAAACAGAAAAATTCACTTATGTTTTTAAAATGCAGATCAAAAAATTTTGAGATGAAAATCTGAATTACGAAATCTACTGTTTTAACTAAATCTGTAATGCAATTGAATTAATTTATTAATTGCACGCCATTTTTGACTAGTTATGTTATTATTACTTTTATATGAATTATATTTATTAAACTTGTTATTTTTCTTCGGTATTTTATGTTTACATGTATATTTCCTTAAAATTTCCTTTAAAAAAACTGGCAAATGTTTCAGAAAAATGGTAAGACAGATGCTGCAAATTTTAATAAATTTATTTCTTTAATGATTAGTAATTGATAATCTATCACTTATAAACTTGATATTTTTATTATTTTTGTTATTTTTATTCAGTGTTTTATTATTTTATTACAGTATTTTCAATTAAGCAAATATTTACATTGTCACAACGAAACATATTTCCTTGAAATTTCCTTTAAAAAAACTGGCAAATGTTTCAGAAAAATGGTGAGACAGATGTTGTTTATTTCTTTAATGATAATCTATAGCTTATAAACTTGTTATTTTTGTTATTTTTGTTGCGGTTATTTTATTAATTTTATTGCAGTATTTTTTTTTAATCAAATAAATCTTTACATGTAACAACAAAAAAACAATATCCTAGAAAGTTCGTTAGTGATTAGTAATTAATTTCAATAATAATAATAATAAATAAATCACTTATAAACTTGTTATTATTTTTATTTTTATTACAGTATTTTTCGATTAAATAAATCTTAAAATCCAATCCATAAAAGGAGTTTACAATATCAAACCATATTTCCTAGAAATTGCCTTTTAAAAAAATGTTAGACAAATTTAATTATTTGATATCTGGAAAGTAATTCTAAATTCTTTCGTTAATGATTATGGATTAGTAATTATAATTAATAATAATAATACACAAAACTAATAAATCACTATGATAAAACTTGTTATTTTTATTGTTTTTATTATTTTTGTTGCCGGTATTTGATTATTTTGATTATTTTTATTACAGTATTTTTTCTTTATTATTTTTATTTTTTTTTTTAATTAAATAAATCTTTACATATCACAACCCATAAAAAGACAACAAGACAAATCTCCTATGGATTTCCTTTAGAGAACTGGCAAATATTTTAGAAAAAAATAGTAGGATAGATGCGGCAAAATTTTATTTCGTTATTAATTCGTAATACTAATAATAAACGAAAACACAAGCCACTTTTATGAACCTTGTTTACTTCCAATCTTTTACCACGTTGAAGCCACAAAAGGAATTTACTGAAACGTCCTTAGAATTTCCTTTTATAATTTAAAAACTGGCAACGAGAAAAAGTAAACGTTTTGTTATATTTGATGATGTAATGTAACAGATGTACTGATCTAAACAAATATATACTCATAAAAGAAGATCCGAGTAGACCAGTAACGTTCTAACTCAGTTCCTACTCAGTTCTTACTCAGTCAGGTATATATTTAGTAATAATATTCTATTTCAAAAAATTCGAGTTCAACTCTCTCTTATTCCCAAAATTATTGAATTTTTAAAAAAAATGGAACTAAATAATGGTGATATAAACTCCCGACCGATCATTTTAAAATGCTTACATTGGTCCGAAGATAATCAAATTTCTGTGGTTTCTCCTCCAGGAGTTTACATTTTTGTAATTATTTATTATCTTCTAATTTATTATTTTTTTCAATATTCCAAAAAAAAAAACAATAAATGAAATAAATAAATAAAATTTAATTAAAATATTCTAATATAAATATATATATACACACAAATACAAAAGACTCCATTATATAAAGGACGAGATATAAGAGGAAATGGCACTTGTATACGAAGTGCAATAGTTTCTTGTGATGATTCTAAAGATAGAAATCCTATTAAAATTCAAGGTAATAATAATAATAATAATTATTATTATTATTATTTTATTATTATTAACATTATTTCATTATTATTAAAATGATATTAAAATGATATTAAAATCATTTGTTAAATTATTTACAGATTTTTCAGCAAAACTTATGAAAGGTTATCCAGAAACATTTCGATGTTTTACTTGGTCTCCACTTGATCCCTCTTCATCAGCGAGGTAATAAAATATAAATAAATATTTTATTTTTATTTTTATTTTATTGATTATCTATTGTGAATTAATTCATAATTAATTAATTAAATTAAATTAAATTAAATTAATTAAATTTTTGAATTAATTAAATTAATTAAATTAATTATTATGAATTAATTCAATTAATTAAAATTTTTTCATAATTTATAGTTGTTTGTTTATTGTAATTACCACAAAATATCATGTAGCGATTTATGGTCCAAAATTTGATCCATTTCAAAAAGAATGGATTGAGGTAATCAAAAATTTTAAATAAAATTTTAAATATTTGTCAAAAAAAAAAAATAATAAATAAATAAAAATAAATTGATTTTATTATTATTATTATTAGATAGAAAACATATCACCAAAAATATTACAATGTTATACAGACCTAAAGTTTTGTGATATAATTGACCAAGATATATTGAATCAACTTCAATCATTATGTATGTAAATTCATGTATTATATATTATATTATATATTTTATTTTATTTTTTATTTATTTTATTTTATTTTTTAGCTGCTGCTTGGTCACCTTTGTGTTTTGCTGAAAACTTTTATACATTCTCTGTAATTGCACTAGGAAGTAAAGGTGGTACCGTATCATTATGGAGGCAAGTTTTTTAATATATATATATATAATATTTTTGGTGGTGAACAGTAACAAATTATTATAATGATGATGATGATAATTATTTATTAAAATTTATAGTTATAGGAATGGAGTAAATCATCTTTACACATTGAAAGCTCATGATTCTTGGATTTGTATAATTTCATGGTCAAGATGGATTGAAATAGGACATGATCAATGTATGTAAGATGAATTAAAGATATGATGAACGTTAAAAAATAAAGGAAGAAGGAAAGAAAGAAAGGAATAATAATTTTCTTTTACTTTATTATTAATTAATTAATTAATTAATAAATTTTAGATGCGGCAAATTTAGTTACAGGATCTGACGATGGTTCAGTTTGTTTATGGAAAGTAATTTTAACTTTATTTCGAGTAATATCTTCAGGAATTGAATCAGTGAAAACCGATATTTCAGTATCATTATATATGAAATTATCTGACGAAGATCGTCGAGTGGCCACAATTATAAAATGGTATTATGAAACAAAAGAAGATTATTGTTCACGTTTGGCAATTGCAAAAGGTCTCAAAATATATGTTTGGACATCATCATCATCATCATCACCTAAGACCTCCAAATCTTCACCTAAATCATCTCATAAGGAAAGAAAGTCACTTTTAAATATTGAACATGAGAGACCGAAAACTTTTATGTTACCTTTATCTAAAGGAATAGTGGGTAAGAATTTATAATTATTATTATTTTAATCTTTTGTTATTCGATCTTCTTTATTTGACTGACTTCATTTATTTAGGAATAAATTGGAATTATGATGGAAAACAGTTAAATGTTTTTTTAAATGAAGGAAATCATATAACATTAACAATACCTGAGAATAATTCTGGAGATGAAAACGATAATATTAGTGTAGATGAAAAGAAATCAAAATTTATTAATGATATTCTTGTCACAAAATGGAAATTACAATATGAGAATGAAGAAGAAGAAGAGAATGATGATGATGATGACTTTCTTGATGGTGATGATAATGATGATTATGATCTCGATCCCTTTGAAACTGAAGAATTTAATGATGATGATGATAATAATAATAGTAATAGTAATAATGATGACGATAATAATAATAATAATAATAATAATAATAGCAATGTTAATGGTAATAATGAATGTATTGAACCTTTATATCTTGGTGCAGATGAATCTGGAAATGGACTTTTTTCTGCTGTAGTTTTTATGTTAGAATCTCCTGATGATCAATATATTACAGATAAATTTGAATTTTCTTATACCACCTTTGTTCCAATTGAAGAGCAACGAAATAAAGATTTGGCATCTTCTTTAGTCAAAATATTTAAAGATCGTTTAGAAGATGGTTATCTTTGTCAGTACATTTTCAATCCAATCTATTTTTGATTCTATTTTTTGCTCTATTTTTAACCAATTTTTATATCATATTTTTACCATTTTTTTAGTGGATAGAATGTCCATAACATATTTACTTTGGGATGTACTTGAATATTGTAATCTTGAAAATGAATACGAAGTCAAGAATTCATTGTTTTATCAATTGGTTCAAGCTTGTTGGGACTTTTATTACCAGCATAAAACAACAACTACTACTATTTCGGTAAATTTAATTTCATTAAATGATAATATGACAAAGTAAGTATTATTATTATCATATTCTATTTTATTATTGAATAGAATAGTTTTTCTTGTTGATAATTGATTTATCTATTTATCTTTTTTGTTTATCTTTTTTTTTCTATTTATTTATCTATTTATTTATTTATCTATTTATTTATTTATAGGGAATTTTCTTTAAAAGAGATTATAAAAAAGTGGAGACTTGCTTTTTATAAAGAATGTTCAATAAATGCTCTTAGAGTTCTTGTATATCTTTATAGCAATACTGCAGTAAGTTGAATATTTTTTTTTTATTTACAATGAAGTCTTGATCCAATAAATTTTATTAATATATTCGAGATATTTCTTGTAATATATTTTAATTAATAATTAATATTTATATATTTTATAATTAAAGCTTTTAAATTTACCACAGAAATTTCGAAAGGAATTAGAACCTTCTTTTACTGATTGTCTGAAAAAAATAGAGCAACACTTTTTATCACAATTATTATCTATAATTGTTCAATGTATACAGAATGGTGTCAGTTCAAATGAAGGTAAATTTTTATTGAATTATAATAATAATAATAATAATAATATAAAAATTCATTTATTTATAAATTTTAATATTTTTTTTTATATATTAGCATTGGATCAATCATTTATAATACATTGGTGTGATTGGATACTTAAATATTTTCCTGAAGACAATAATTTAATTAAATTAGCAAAATTTTGTTATGAATATTTAAGTTCATTAGATGAAACTTGTAGAATCTATGGTAATCTCGAATCTGAAAAAGAATTAATATCTTCTATAATGGAATCATCACCATCTTCTTCTTCTTCTATGATGATGATAACAACAACAACGACTAATAAATCTACTAAAAAAGTGAATTTACCTTCAAGAGATTTATGTCCTGCTTGTCAAAATAATATCCTTATTTATTATTTATTATTATTTATTATTATTATTATTATTATTATTATTATTATTATTATATTCATGAATTTATTTATAATTTTATTATCCTTAATTTTTAATTAATTAATTATTAATTACGCGTATCATTCATTCGTGGACCTAAAGGTATTTGTAATAAAGGACACATTTGGGGTATGTATCTACTTTTAATATTGATTGATAATAAATAATGATATGATATGATATTAATTCTAATAACAACGTAATAATAAATTTTTAATTTAAAAAAAAAAAAAACAGATCTTTGTTCATTGACATTAAACATCATTTCAAACAAATATGTGAGATCTTGTAGTTTATGTAATCGAAAAACAATTACCATCTCACATCTTTTTAATAATGAACCAACAATTTTTGTTAAAGCCATTTTTGCGGCTTGTGAAAAATGTCTTTATTGTGGAAGTAGTTTTATATTTCGTTGTTAAAAAAATAATTCTGTAGTTTTTTTTTTTTTAAAAAAAATAAATATTGTACTTAATAAAAAGTTTGTAAAAAAAAATTATTAAATGACATTAAGACTATATTGTTCTGTTAATTATTGTTGCAATAAAAATCATTGGCTATAATTAATAAATAATGAATAATATAATAAATAATGAATAATATAATAAATAATGAATGATATAATAAATAATGAGTAATAAATTATGATAATATATAATGAGTAATAAATATTAAGTAATATAACACAAAAACATGTATAAACTAATAAAGCTTATTTGTATTGTCAATAAATTTTTTATATTTCCTAGTAAGTAATATAACGCAAATATCAGGGTAACAACATGCATTCATGTATAAACTAATAAAGCTTACTTGCATGAATCAAAAGTTTATCATTTAAAACAAAATTGAAAGGAAAATGCATGATCAAAAGTTTATTTTAAATAAGATGCATGATCAAAGGTTTATTTTAAACAAAAGAAATAAGTAATAATTCCATAATGCCGAGGATCCTAACCAATTTGAGAAACACAGAGAAATAATTATTTTTGTTCACAATTCCACTTCCATCCAATACGAATTTTTTAGTTAAAAACATTAAAAAATGATTAATCGACGATGTATTAAGATTAGTATCGATAGAGGGGGAACTTTTACAGATTGTATTGGAATTATTACTGTACCAATATCATCCGAACATCCCACCGGACGTATAGAAATTGTGGTAAAATTATTGAGTGTCGATCCTCAAAATTATGAGGATGCTCCTCGAGAAGGGATAAGAAGGTTATTGGAAAAATTTACTGGAAAACCTCAACCCAAGGATAAACCAGTTGATACGTCTCTTATAGGTAAAATAAAAATAAAAAATAAAAAAATAAAAAATTCATAAATATCTAAAAATATCTAAAATATATATATATATATATAATATAAAAATATATAATAATATGCTAAAAATATCCGAATATTTTTTAAAGAGTCGATTCGTATGGGAACAACTGTTGCAACCAATGCTTTATTAGAAAGAAAAGGAGAAAAATGTGCTCTTTTAATTACAAAAGGTTTTAAGGTATTAATAATATTATTACATATATATATATATGTATTATATTACAAAATAATATAATATAATAATAATTTATTATATGATATGAAATGAATAAATTTCTTTATATATATAGGATTTATTAATTATAGGTAAAATTTTTTAAAATAATTAATATAAAATTTATGTAATTCTTTGATGATGAATTTTTTTTTAAATTTTAATAGGAAATCAGGCTCGCCCAAAGATATTTGATCTTGCAATTCATAAGCCAGATGTTTTATATCAAAAAGTTGTAGAAGTTGATGAACGGTATTTAAATTGTCTTCTTTAAATTGCTATATATCATTATCATCATCATCATCATCATCATCATCATCATCATCATTATTATTATTTATTATTATTATTATTATTATTTGAATATTGCATTTGAATATTATTTTTTAGATTATTTTAATCTTTTATTATTTTCTATATATTCATAAAGTGTAAGTCTGGTTGAAGGACCATCATCAAATAATAATGGATCAAAGAAGGATGATGGTGATGATGATTTGTTAGAAGGAATTTCTGGAGAATATGTTAAAATCATTCAAAGACTTAGTAATTTTATTTTTGTGAATTGGTTTTGTTTATTTGATAGTTATATAAAAAATCAACTATAAAAATTAATATCATAATATTCTTTATTAATTAGACTTGGAAAAAGTAAATGAAGATTTAAGATCATTATACGAAGAAGGATTTAGAAGCATCGCGATTTGTTTAATGCATTCTTATACTTACCCAGGTTTGTGTTGTGTTGTGTAGTCTGTATATTATTATTTATTATTATATATTGTTATTTATTATTATATATTATTATTTATTATTATATATTATTATATATTATTATTTATTATTATATATTATTATATATTAATATTTATTATTGCACTGTTGTTATTTAAAATTTTCATTCACAAATTTTTATTTGAAAGATCACGAACGTCAAATTGGAAATCTCGCATCAACCATTGGATTTACTCATATCTCACTTTCATCTACCATAATGCCCATGATTAAAATTGTTCCTCGTGGTACCTCATCTACTGCCGACGCGTATTTAACCCCTTGCATTCGGAAATATATTAATGGATTCATTTCGGGATTTGATGAAAATTTAATTCGAAACGTTAAATTGGAATTTATGCAAAGTGATGGAGGTTTGGTACCTGTCAATAAATTTTCGGGATTTAGAGCTATTTTATCAGGTCCTGCCGCCGGTGTGATGGGTTACGTGTTAACTTCTTATGGTGAGAAAGAACGAATTCCGGTAATTGGATTTGATATGGGTGGTACATCTACTGGTAATTATTATCTTTTAATAATCTTACTTTTATAATTTTTAATGTTAAATGATGTTGTAATTATTAATTAATTAATTAACAATATTAATTATTTTCATTTTTAGATGTATCACGTTTTGATGGAAAATATGAACATGTTTTCGAAACTACAACTGCTGGAGTAACAATTCAAGCACCACAATTAGATATTAATACAGTTCGTGTTAAAAATTATAATCATTGTAATAGTTATTTTCTAATACTTCATAATTCTTAAATACTTTTTAATTCTATATATATATGATATTTAAAATTATAAGGTTGCTGCTGGTGGAGGTTCACGATTATTCTTTCGTAATGGAATGTTTGTTGTAGGTCCCGAGGTAATTTATTTTTTTAATTTTAAAAATTTTATTCTTTTAAAATATTTGATATTTCTTTCTTTTTTTTTTCTTCTTTTAGAGTGCAAGTGCTCATCCTGGTCCAACATGTTACAGGTTAGGTATTATGACATTTTCTTTAATATATATATATATATATATATTATTGTATAAGAAAATTATTGTATAATGATGATGATTTTTACTTGACATATTTTTTTTAATTCATTTTAAATAATTAGAAAGAATGGTCCTTTGACTGTAACTGATGCAAATTTAATACTTGGTCGATTGGTTCCTGATTATTTTCCCAAAATTTTTGGAAAAAATGAGGATCAACCACTTGATTTAAAAGCTACTCAAATTGAATTCGAGAAGTTGGCCACTTCTATTAATAATTTTGATGATGGAAGATCAAAAGAAATAAAAAAAAGTATAGATGAAATAGCTTATGGGTGTGTATTTGTGAATGATTCATTCATTAATTTATTTTTTCATTCGTTCATGCGTTCGTTCATTTGTTCATTTGGAATTAATTAATTCCCTTTTTTTTGGATTTATTTATTTATTTATTTATTTTAGATTTATAACAGTAGCTAATGAAACTATGTGTCGTCCTATCCGTGCTCTTACTGAAGCAAAAGGTTATTCCGCTTCAAATCATATTTTAGCTTGTTTCGGTGGTGCGAGTGGGCAACATGCGTGCGCCATCGCTCAAAATTTATGTATAAATCGAATATTAATTCATCGTTATAGTTCAATCTTATCAGCTTATGGTTTGGCTTTAGCCAATGCAGTTCATGAAGTTCAAGAACCTTGTGCCAAAATTTATAATGAAGATTCTTTACCTTACTTAAAAGAAAGAATTCGAATTTTATCTAATACTTGTAATGAAGAATTATTTTCTCAAGGATTTCAAGAATCCCAAATTAAACATGAAATTTATTTAAATTTAAGATATCAAGGAACGGATTTCGCTTTGATGACTTTAAAACCTTCAGGTGATGATAATGATTCTTGGGATTTCGTTCCTTCATTCGTTAATCAATATCAACAAGAATTTGGATTTGTTTTTACTGATCGAGAGATATTAGTGGACGATATTAGAATTCGAGGAATTGGTGAAGGATTTGGAATAACTCATGGTGATATATTTGAAGAAATCAATCAAATTCAATCTCAAAAAAAGGAAATCCCTGTAGAATTATCTCAATGTGATAAAATTACTTCATGTTACTTTGAAAATGGTCATCAAGAAACTCCTATTTATTTATTGGAAAAACTTAAAGTTGGAAATAAGATTTTCGGTCCAGCATTAATTATTGATGCCAATTCTACAATTCTTATTGAACCAAATTGTAATGCATTAATTACTACTACACATGTAATTATTACAGTTGAGAATAATGATGATGATGATGATGATGATAATGATAACAACAACAGTAATGTTAGGAGACAGCACCATAATGTAACTACAGAATCGGATCCAATTCAACTTGCTATTTTTGGACATCGATTTATGAGTATTGCTGAACAAATGGGTAATACTTTACAAAAGACTGCAATTTCCACAAACATTAAAGAGAGATTGGATTTTTCTTGTGCCCTTTTTGGAGCTGATGGAGGATTGGTTGCCAATGCACCTCACATTCCAGTTCATTTGGGAAGTTTAAGTTTCGCAGTTTTATATCAATTGAATTTTTATAATGGTACTTTGGAGGATGGTGATGTGATTATGTCTAATCATCCAAAAGCTGGTGGTTCACATTTACCAGGTCAGTCAATCTTTTATGACATAAATAATGATAATATTCATCAAAATCAAATATTCAAAATATTCATCAAATTTTCAATCTTTGTTATTTTGTAGATATTACTGTTATCACTCCTGTATTCAATGAGGGCAAAATTGTATTTTTTGTTGCTTCAAGAGGTCATCATGCAGATATTGGTGGTAGTTTGCCAGGTAAATAAATAAATAAATATATATGCATATATGTATGTGTAATGTATATATTCATTTTACCTGAGCCAAATATATATATATATATATATATATACTAATATTAATTTAATTTTAATTTTAGGTTCAATGCCACCAAATTCCAAAGAGTTATATCAAGAAGGAGCAGCTGTTAAATCATTTAAATTAGTATCCAAAGGTAAATTTGATATAGATGGACTTACGAATATTTTATTACATCAACCTGCTCAATATCCCGGTTGTAGTGGAACGAGATGCCTTCGGGATAATATTTCGGATCTTAAAGCTCAAGTAGCTGCCAATCATAAAGGTATCACATTGGTGAAATCCTTAATTAAAGAGTATGGACTTGAGGTCGTTCAAGCTTATATGATTCATATTCGAAAGAATGCGGAATTGTCGGTGAGAGAAATGTTAAAAGAGGTTTATAAAAGGATTGGAAGTAATACCTTGAGAGCGATAGATTTTATGGATGATGGAAGTCCTATTAAGTTAAAAATCACTATTGATGAAAATGAAGGTTCGGCAATATTCGATTTTGCTGGAACTGGACCAGAAGTTTATGGTAAAAATATTCATTTTTTTTTTTTTACGATTTCATTATTTGAAAATTCTTTCATAAATTTTCATCCTTAAAATTATTTCTTTAAATTTAGGAAATACGAATACTCCCACATCGGTATTTATATTAAGAATTATATATTATATGTTTTATATATTTTTATATATTTTTATTTATTATTATTATTTATTATTATTATTATTATTATTATTTATTATTATTATTTATTATTATTATTATTTATTATTAAATCTAACATTAAAGAAATCAATACAATAATTTTAATCAAATACTTATTTTTTATTATTAAAGGTTACTCATAGCGCAATCATTTATTGTTTACGATCCTTAATATTTAATGATATTCCCTTAAACCAAGGATGTTTGAATCCCATTGATATTCGAATTCCCGAAAATTCCTTCTTAAATCCATCTGATAAAGCGGCCGTGGTAGGAGGGAATGTTTTAACATCTCAAAGATTGGTGGATACCATATTAAAAGCATTTCAAGCTTGTGCGGCGAGTCAAGGGGATTGTAATAATTTGACATTCGGAAAGGATGGAATAGTTGTGAATGGGAAAAAAGTTAAAGATGGATGGGGATATTATGAAACTATTGCTGGAGGTCAATAATTATATATATATATATATATATAAAATACTTATATATGTTTATTTTTTATCAAATTTTTTTTTTAATTGATGATTTGATTTATTTATGTTTCATTAGGTAGTGGAGCTGGACCTACTTGGAATGGACAATCTGGTGTTCATACTGTATGAAAAAAGTTTATATATTTATATATTCGATTTATGGACTAATTTAAAATTTAATAATAATAATAATAATAATAATAATAATAAATTTAGCACATGACCAACACCAGAATTACTGATCCGGAAATATTGGAAAGAAGATTAGATCATTCAGTTTTACTTCGTGAATTCTCTTTACGCAAAGGTTAGTTAAATGAAATATACAAAATCTAATTTATTTATTTATTTATTCTACCTACAATAATATTAATAATTAATATGATGTATGATAATATATATAACAGGATCAGGTGGGAAAGGATTATATAAAGGAGGTGATGGTGTAATACGTGATTTAGAATTTCGAGAATCAATTCAAGTGAGTATATTATCTGAACGAAGGGTTTATCATCCTTACGGAATGAAAGGAGGTAAACCTGGTTCGAAAGGATTAAATCTTTGGATACGTAATGAAGAAGAAGAAGGAGAAGATGGCGGCGGTGGTGATAAAGGAAAGAAGGAAGCAAAAAGAAGATTAGTTAATATTAGAAGTACAAATACTTTTAAGGTAAAGGTTGGTGATAGAGTAATTATATGTACACCTGGTGGAGGTGGATGGGGTACTCCTACGGGAGATAATAATGATAACGACGAAGAATATGATGATAATTCGAATGAAGATGAAGCAATTATTAGATTTCTTTAAAATTTATAAATATAGTTTTATTATTATTATGTGTAATATTCTAATATTCACGCATTATCCATATCATATATGTAATATTTAATTATTTATTCATTTATTTAATGTAAAAAAAATGTGTTACCAAGTGAATTTGAATTATTTCATATTGAAAATTAAAATTAAAATGTAATATTTAATTATTTATTCATTTATTTAATGTAAAAAAATGTGTTACCAAGTGAATTTGAATTTTTTCATATTGAAAATTAAAATTAAAATGTACAAAATATTTATAATGAAAAAAAAGTCTCTTATATTTGGAGAGGGGATTTGTTTGTTAAGGGTCACCTGATGATGTGATAATTGCATTTCAAATTTTTTTTTTTTTTGTTTGTTTTTTGTTTTGTTTATTTGTTGATTCACAATGCAATGCATGTACAAAAGATCGGATCGTTGCTGCTGTCAAACGATCATTCGGAAAAAACAACCTTAAAAGTCAACCTAAAAGTTATTTAAGCTTAATTAAATTAAAATGTAATGTTACTGTATAACCTGTATAATTACTTTGTATAACGCATAAAAAATAATATATCATTTTCGGGTTTTGCGTAACAGGAAAAGTTTGACAATATAAATAAATTAAATTAAATTAGTTTATCAATTTTATTATCAAATTTTATTATTATTATTATTATTATTATTATTCTATACATTATTATTAAATTTATTATTAATAGAGATTCACACATAATCATAAATCATAATCAAACTATATTATTCATTAAGGAAGAATAGATTCATTAGACCCTATTGGTCGGTAGTGATGGTGGTGTGGTGTGAACGATGGTAAATGATATAATAATGCTATCCTTATTTTTGTTTTTGTTGTTGTTGTTTCGAATTGATATGATTACCAGAATTATTATGAGAAGAATCTAAAGTTTCGGAATAATTTTGATTACTAGTATTATTATTATTTTTTTTTATCTTGATGAAGATGATTGTTTTTATTGTTGATTTGATTGAAAGAAATAATTGAATAGCTGGGAATAAGATTCGAATAAGGATGAGATGATGATGGTGATGAGATATTATTAGTAGTGATAGGAAATTGTTGTCTTTCTGTTATTAATTCCGGTGGTGACACTTCTGATACTTCAAATGATAATGATGTTGGCAATTCTTCCGATAATAATGTTGTTTTTGTTGTTTCTGGAGAAGCAGATGTTGTTGTTGTTGCATCAGGTGATAATGAAGTAGCATCTAATGATAATGGAGTAGATATTGTTGCTTCGGGTGGTAATGGAGATGTTGTTGATATTTGGAATGGTGTAGATGGTGGTGATGCTTGAAATGATGATGATGTTGATACAGGTGATTCTTGAAATGATGATGATGGTGTTGTTGTTGATGTATGTCGTGGTAATATATTATATTTTTCCATTGTTGATAAGTATTTTCTAAGCTTAACTTTTTCATCAATTCTAAAAAAAATAAAATAAATTTGAGTGTATGAAGTAGTTGTAAGTAGTCGTCGTAAATAGTTGTAGATATATGAATTTTAAAAAAATTTGTTATTTATATAAAAGATAAATTTACTTCTTTTTCTTCTTCTTACGAACACTCTCTTCATCTTTGTCTTCGGGATCTTTATGATGTTTTCGTGATTTCTTTTCATGTTTACCTTCACCCTTTGATTTAACAACTGATTTCCCTTTCTATTTTATAATTTAATAAATAAAATGATTAAATAATAATACCAAAACATTATAAATTCTTCAAAAAATCAAATATCGAACCTCATTCGCTATAGTTAACTTCTCGGAAAACTTTGTCACCAAAGAATCCTCTCTTATAATTGATGGTGGTTGTGTCGTTATCGTTGAAGGTGGATTCTTTATTTTCTTTTTATTTGTTAAATTTGTAGTTATCGTTGTTGTTTCGGTCGGTAATTTATTCTTTTCACTAATAGATAATTTCCCTTCAAATTTTTCAGATAACGAATCATCCCTAGGGAAAGTAGGAAAAGTAGATGATGATGACGAATCAACCCGAGAAAGAGTAGATAAAGGTAAAAGAGATGATTCTTGTTTTTCAAGTTGTGCTAATTGTTGTTTTGCTATCTCTTCTTGATGAAAATATCTTGCATGAGAAATATTAAAGATTTCATTAAATCTTTCATTTGATAAGTAATTTATTGGTTCATTTAATTTGTGAGTAGAAGAAGGAGTCGAAGAAGGAGTAGTAGTAGAAGAAGAAGAAGAAGAAGGGGTAGTGGTAGGCTTAAATTTCCAAGTGTATCCAGTTGAAGGATGCCATTCAACATTTTGATAATTTTGATTTAATGCTGTGTGTAAATGATAAAGACTATTCATCTATTTAATTATAAATAAAATATAATATAATAAAGCATAATAAAGTATAATAAAGTATAATAAAGTGTAATAAAATGTAATAAAGTTTAATAAAATATAATTCGTTAATTTTTTTTTTAACAAATTAAACTAAATTAAATTCAAAAATATATTTATTTGTTACCAAACGACTAGTGACAACAGATTCCAAATCAGGAGTTTGATAAATATTTCCTTTTAAAATATAATAAGTTTCGAAATTGACGACTAATATAAATATGTATATTAAAGAAAGTAATAATAATAATAATAAATGAAAAAAATCTAAATTTTGCTCAGTGAAAAGAAAGGAATGAAAAATTTTTATGAATTGTGATGATGATGAGGATGATGAGGATGAGGATGATGATAATAATAATAAAATTTACTTTCATTCACACTTATTCGATTTCGTTTCTGAATTAAAAATAAATTTGGAGGTATTGAAAAAATAACTGAATATTCAATTCCTTTCATTTTTCTATATATATATATATATCATGGGATATTTGAATCATATTGAATCATATCAGGTTATTAATTAATTATAATAATAATAGTAAAAGGGTAGAGTAAAGAGATAGAGAGAGAAGAAATATTTTACCTTAATGTAACTTCAATTGGTTCGTTGAGAACTCGACTACTCATTTTTACGATCTCATTATTACATTGTCGATCGTAAAATGGTGATATGGAAAAATATTCCATTACGTTTCCATTTGTTAGCACACCGTTCTAAATAAAAATAAAATAATAATAATAATAATAATAATAAATAAGATCAAAGAAATTTGAGAATTCGAGAATTTTGAAATTGTTTACGGTACGTACGTATTGAAACCAATAATCATCCCGAAAACTAATATGTCGAGTATCAAATGTTTCCAAATCAAAATCCATTTTTCTTTTCTCTCGCTTTTTCTGTTTCTGTTTCTGATTAACAATCAATTTAATTAATGATTGATTAGGGTGATTTAACAAAAACAAAAACAAAAAAAAAAAAATAAAATAAAGTTATTTTGAGAAAGATAATCTATTAAAAATTTTTGACATTTGATTAGTCATCTACTTTTTTTGTTCATTTGTCATACATATAATATAAACACGTTTTCTCTTTTTAGAATATGAATTTAAAAATTTTTTTTTTATTACTATTATTATCATCATTTATTTTTGTAAGATAATATATATATATATGATTAAAAAGACCATTAATATTAATAATATATAATTATTCATTATTATTATTTTTTTGTAATTACACAAATTACACAATCATCACCACCACCACCAATAATATTTATTATTATCATTTCATTTTATTTTTATATGATTTTCTTTATCATTTCCTTTTTCCACCTTTGATCTTTCTTTTAAGTTCCAAGGTATCAATAAGTGCTTTCGGGTTACGTTGAAAAATTTCGTAAATGTTAATTGTACCTATAATCGACCCATCGCTTGTATCTCTTTCCGGACTACGGATTGGATGTGGGTTTTTGCGTGGCGGTTTCTTTTTGTTAATAATGATAGTAGTGGGAGGATTAGGTGGATCGTTAGGTGGATCATTAGGTGGATCATTAAGTGAATTAGATAGATTAGGTGATGGGATGGGTGATGGATTAGGTGGTGGTGGATTAGGCGGATCATTAAGATTAGAAAGAACAGGAGAATTATCATTATTAGGAAGATTATGTGGATCAGGTAAATCATTAGGATTAGAAATAATAGACGGATTAAGATTCGAAAGACCGAAAGGATTAGAAATATTAGAGGAATCAGATTCATGAGAATTATAAAGATTAGGATGATCATGAGAGTTATAAAGATTAGAGGGATTTGAAGTATCAGGAGGAGGAGGATTAGAAAGAATCGAAAGATCATTTTGATTAAAAGGGTCATAAAGAATAGGATAATCAAAAGGATTAGAAGGATCACAAGGATTAGAAGGATCACAAGGATAAGAAGTATTAGAAGTATTAGAAATATTAGAAGCATTAGAGGGATAAGAAAAATTAGAAGGATAAGAAATATTAGGAGGAGGAGGATTAGAATGATTAGAAGGATTAGAAGGAAAATAGTATTGATTTGAAAGATAAGAAAGATTAATAGGATTATTAGAGGTAAAAGGATTAAGAGAGTCATATCGATTAGAAGGATTAGGAGGATAAGAAGGATAAGAAGGATTAAGGATAGGATTAGGATTAATTCTGGAAATTTCGAAATTTTGCATATTTGAAACAACCGGTATATTTGTATTTGTTGTCGTTGGATTCACGTAAAAATCTGATATATTTTGTATCTTTAAAATGTTAGTAATGTCAGTGTATGAATTACTTAAATTATTCAAATTATTATTTAAACGATTTAAATTATTATTATTATTATTTAAATTATTTGAATTATTTAAATTATTTAAAGGATTGATGTAAAAATTCGGCATATTGTTCAAGTTTGACATATTTGAAGTATTTGAAGTATTTGAGGTATTTGAAATATTCGAAATGGTGGATGGAGTTTCGAAATAGTAGCCTTCCCTAATAATATCTAATTATATATTTTCAATTTTTTTTTAAGAATGTTATTGGAATTTAAAAGTTCTTTTTTTTTCATTTTTGAAATTTCAAAGTTACCTTGGTTGTAAATATTCGTATTTCCGTCCATAATTTATATAAATTTTGTTTATAAATTTTTTACTTAGTTTATAAAATTAACAATAATGATATTGACTGATTAATGATAAAGTTAAGAAAGAGATATTCTAAATAGAAATTTCAAAAATCACGTTCCCTTTTATTTGCTCTCTTTCATTCAGTACTGGTGGTGGTGTAATGATATTACGTCATGATCTCATTATTTCATTACCCCACCTCGAAGTGGTCTTAATCGACATTATTTTATTGACATTTATTTTTAAATCCATTTTATCATTAAACCTGATATGTTAAATTCCACCTTGGTCTAAAAATTTAAAGTTCATTATATTATTATTGGTTTAAATAAACATGTGTTCAACAAAATATTTTCAATAACAAAAATAAATTAACTGTTAATAATTAATGCAAAAAATTCATGTAATAATTTTAGTGTAACATATATCATATATGTTATAGAATCAGGCAATTGTTAATATTATAGGCATGAAAATATGTCATTTGACTATCTTCTTACTTGTCCATCTAGTGATCATAAAAAGGCTCATTGGATTCGTCTTATCAAGACGAAATAATTTTATGTCTAGTTATTACATATTTTTTTACGGAATATCCGATTCTACATTACTAATAAATATATACACGGAATTAATTTATTCGTCGTTTATCTTTACCACATTATTGATTTTTATAACAGAAAATTAAAAATTAAATATAAATAGAAATTATTACAACAAAAAAAAAATCCCAATTTTATAATAATGATAAATCCCTATATAATATCGTAATAAATATAACTATTATTATAATTATATTAAATAGTATTACAATATAGTAGTACCTAGTAACATCTACAATTTATACTGACTTTATAGAGTTTATTATTTATGTAATTTATTATACTATAAGTATATGTATGTATAACAAATAATATAATGTTTAAACATCATATATCTGAAAAATTAGAAATATCGAAGTTACGTTTTTACTAATCAAAAGAACCATTATTTTTCTACTTTCTTTAATTTAAAAATCATACCAAAATAAAGTAAATTATAAATTATTATATATAATTGTTCTAGACCTATAGTCTATGAATATTTTAATGTGGTACCATTTTTACATACAGTATAAACTTTTTTTTTATTATCAAATAAAATTTCCAAAGAATAATGAATTTAAACTTTGATCGTTACCCGTACCGGGCTTTATGGATATTAAAGGTAGATACCAACTATCTTATATGGAATTGTGGCAGAAATAATGTCTACAACTTTAATTAGAAGCACTTTTCGCGATGTCTAGACATGAATAAAAATGGCCGAAATTTATTAAAAATATTAAAAAAATAAAAAAATCTGAAAATAATTATCAATTATTTCTACATATAAAAGTATTTTCATTGGTAATATACTAATAGAAATGCTACTAACTAACATGAAAGCCGAGAATAAAGAGCATCTCATATATGTAAAGTATTCAAAATAATTTTTAAATATTCAGTGTTCAACCGTTGATATTCTTAAGAGAAAATATAAAAATTTACACAAGATTCTCCACATCTTTGGCTATAAGATTAATTAGTACTTTATTTGCTGTTTTATTAGTAAATATTAAATCAGCGATTGATAATTTTTTTAGTATCAAAAATAAAATGATCGACAATAAATCTGCCCACTGAGCAAATTTCTAAGGCATCATTGTCGATCATTTTACTGTTGATATTTAAAGAAAAATTCAAAAATAATTATCAATCGCTATTACATATAAACATTATTATTTACTAATAAAATAACGAATATAGTAGTGTTAGGAATCGGGTCTATATTTGTACTCGATTAATCGTCATGATTATTCAACAATAATTCGTCAATTATTCATAGATTATTCATCATATGGGCTAATTTGTCTCACTTCGATTATATCACCTGCATATGTTTATATTCGATTTTGCCACATCTGATTTCCTTAAGGATAAACCCGTGATGTGACTTAATGGTTCTTTCAAGGAATTTATAGTCCTTTCTCAAAGGCAAGACTGTTTTTCAGTTGTTTTAGAAGGCACTACTGATTCAATTATTTTAGAAAGGAAATCAGACCTTTCTTCTAATTTATTTCAATATATTTCAAGTTCATCAATATTTAATACTAATTAATGGATTGGATTTACCTGTCATAAATTAAGTACATTGTACTTAAATTATAACAGAAAATAACTGAAATTTCTAACGATTTATAAAGATAACAGGGGTTCAAAATTAATAGACTACTAACTTATGTTAAGGGGTTTCTATAGTAAATATTATAGATTTTTTAGAGTTGTACGTGAGGTAAAATCATGTGTTGATTATGAGGGTGTAGTGTCAGGTATGACAAAATGACAATGATCAATACTGAATAAATCAACTAATTTAAAAAAGGTTAAAATCTAAGTAAGTAGGCATTATATAACTGATTTGTACACATGAGGTAATTACCTTATTTATAATAATCTTTTATTGCTCATTGTATATTGAAACTGGTTGGATATTACCAATTTAAATATAAAAAACTAGAATTTTTTGTGGTCATATAACTCCTTCAACTCCTTCGAAGTCACAAATCAAGGAACCAACACATCAGCTGTGCAAGAAAAAATAAATGAGAGTGCTTATTAATATAAGGCATGCATGGGAATATAAAAGTTATTTTTTTCTTGCAAGTTTACTGACCTTTTTTTTTCTTCTCTAAACTTGAAATGGAACAAATTTCTTCAAATATTAAAGAAAGTGCCAAGGTTTCTGTTTTGGGTTCAGTTGTGGGTGAAAACATTGCTTGACCACTTTTGGAAGAATTATGGAAAACCAAATGACTTTTTGCAACAGTTTTACGAGTAGCACTAGGAAATAACTGTTGGATAATTTGTCCTGAATTACAAACAGAAATAGAGATTGAAGTCTCAGTGGGTCGTATGAAGTTTGTAGATTTTCCTATTAATGTAGACACTAATCAAAATATAAGTAACGAAGAGGAAACAAGGTGCGAAACGAACATTTTAAGTGATACTAATAGTGATAGTGTTGAGGATGAGGCAGCAATTCATAATGCAAATAATAATACACTATGGATTAATAAAATTATTACTATTGATTCTCGTCAAGTGTCACACTCCTATTCCAGTTACCAGTTGTACATATTATCGACATTTCTAACGCAATACTCAGACTATTCTTCGAACGTTTTATGCCTATTGATTTTATAATGTCAGTAGTAATTCCTGCTACAAATAGATGTACACGTTGTTACCATGGGTTTCCTCCACTTTCATAATTTTTTATTATTTTATTTTATTTTATTCTTATTTGTATTTATTTTATTAGTATAGTTATTTAGTATATTTTAGTATATTTAGTATATTTATTTATTAGTATTTATTTATTTAGTAGCGT